ACTTTGGCCTTGTGGGGTTTCTTCCTCGTTCCGTAGTTGCAAGCAGACCGTATGCCGTATAACATTGCCAAAGCTGTAAGGCCCATAGCAGCGTCCATCTGAGAGGATGGAAGATGCTTCAGCGTATCAATGATGATCTTGTAGGTTGCTCCACGTGTAGAGAAATGCGCCTTCTCCCCGAGAACCGTCTTTAGTTGGCCAGCACAAACATTGATCGTGGAACCGGTCATAAAAGCAGAGATAGCAGGAAGAGGGATGAAGTCCACGATGAAACCAAGACGAAGTAATCCGAGGAACAGTACGATCGCACCGCAAATGATTGCCAGAGCGGAAGCAAGGACTGGTGGGGGTATTTCGGGGTGGACGGCTTGAACCTTGATGATGATTGAGCCCATGAGCGTAGACATGACCGCCACAGGCTGAGAGGGTTAGCTTTTCAACCAAAATAAAACGAGGAATCATTCATACACCTATAGTGATGTCCTTGGAAGTTGCAAAGAGCCAATAGATCGAGACCCCCATGAATGAAGAGTATAGACCGTATTCCGGAGGCAGATTGGCTAGTTCAGCGTATGCCATCCCCTGCGGAATGACCACGGCGCCAACGGTGATTCCTGCCCAGAGGGATTAGTCTCTATATATCATTAAGTCGCTGGGGATTCTCACCTGCCACGAGATCCCCAACCAGCCATTGCGCGTTATAATACCCGATCCAATGAAGGAAAGGGAAGAGACTCCAGATGTAACGATGAACTTGAGGAGCGGTGGGGGTATGATCTCGAAACCAGTCGCCCACAGTGGGCTCGTGTTCGTAATATCCATACGTTCTGGTCTCATCTCTCACCAAGGAAGGGGTTGGACCTAAATCAATTTGTAAAAGCTTTGCGAAAGCGTGGCCGACTCGAGTCAAGATAGTCTCCACCATTGTTGCGTCGGGTCTTTTTCGGCTCTTCGTAGTCTGGAGGGTCACAAGCGGCGGCTCTCCAGATTGCTAGAGAGAAGAGGAGTTGAAGAAGGAAGAAGAAACAGGGAATTGCTAGTAATGAAAGCCATATTGTGTCCATGACCATAGGGCTGATAGCCTGTATACTTCGGTACGAGCGATGTAGTGATTTTAGTGTTGATTGACCAAAAATAATTGACTCTGACCAATCAGGGCAGGTTTGGATAGCCAGCCATTCTCACATCAGATGGTCAAACTTGGATTATACGGTCTCTTTTGAGAGAGAAGTGATATGTAGGACAGAATAAAGTATTGGGGATTTTCTAGAGAGGGAAAGTGTAAAAACTCTCGTAGGGCTGAACGCTTGGACCCCGGATAGGGCTGATCTGAGGGCTGTATGTAGGCACCGTATGTTCACGCCTATAGGCAAGTCATATAAGCCATAGTCCACTTTTATACCGTTATGATTAACTCTGTTGCCTGGAGTTCATTTTCACGGTGTTGATTTTGTTCATTAGACCTTTGACTTGTGGAACATGTCATTAACTCCCTTTGTACTCCGTATCACCTTTCATTTATAAAAATCTCTTCAACTTCCAACTTTCGGAGAATATTGATTACCCCTATATAGGTACCTTTGTACCTGTACATACTCCGTAGTGAGGGTGGAGATGAGGGGAAAACGGGTACCTGATACTTGAACTACCCCACAGACATTCTTCAAGTGGATTTCCATTTCTGGTTAGTCTTACCTATTTGGGTTTAGCGTAACAACACATTAACCTTCCTAGACCTCGGCTCCTTTAATTGGAGCCATAAGACCACGCTAGTTCCACAACAAGCAATCATCGGTATATTCTTCTCCGAGTAAAAGGGGAATCCTACCTCGCGGTCGGTCTCCACCTTTTAAGGATCCAGTTATAGTCAGATGGCAAGCATGTGGTCTAATAGTCTGATTCCGGTACCTTCTGATCTTACCTCCTGATCTCTACCCTGACCCCCTATGGGAGTATGAGGGCACTCTTTCAAGCGATTGATTTATTGAGGAAGTGTCTAGACGCAAGATTAATGAATGTTTTAACCAGAACCAACCCAAAAGAGATTTACCTTTGACATTGCGATGCACCGTGGCACCAATTACACCGTTGCGGTTGCACGAGATAGTAAAACATGAATTGAAGACCTTGCCGCTGGTATAGGAAAGATGCATAGCTCTTGAGATAGGATTAATGGGGATTAAGCAACCATTTAATCCTCAGGCTCTTGGAGATACTGGACTTCCCATATCCGACTATGACTGATATTCTGGTGGTATTGATATCCCCATCAAGGACTGGTGCTCCTTGTCAGTCAAAGTTCTTTTATGATCGTCAGTAAGTCCCTCCTCTACCACAAGGATGGTAAGCCGCCTGGGGACTTCAGGAATACCTAAACTATATCTAACATTCACGAGGTTGATACCCGATGGCCCCATGTCGTCTTGCAGGTCATGAAGGACAACGAAAAGCAATCTAGCTCTGTGAAAAATGATTGTTTATCAAGAACCACTGCGAACACTTCATGCGGGATCGGCTCACATGAATGACAACCACAGCCGGAACACCATACCATGGACGAGAATGTTTTCATCGTCCGTCAGAACAATAATATGTTGTGCTCGGGGGAATGCCAGAGTCTCACAAGTAGGAGCTCGATCATACCCTTAAGTCTCTGATCGTCAAGCGTACATAAAAGCGATGTGAATAATCTTGCCGCTACTCTCAAAATTCACGGCTTGATCCTAAGTATCCGTTGCCTACGCGGCCTCTCATGTCTTTTTGGGTGGTCTTTTTGGATATACGTGAAGGTGGCAAAGAGTATAAACTATGCAGAGGACTTTTCTATGTATAACTATGTAGGGATTTCTCTGATAAATGGCACCGCCTAGTAGGAATGAGTGGATGGGCGGGCATCTGGCCTAGCGGTTGTCGTTGGCGACATTGGCGCAATGCCACGTGGATCCCCGTCCATCCTCAGCTTGAGTGCCGTTTGATCTCAAGTTGCCGGATCGCCTCCGGGCGATGACTTTTTTATTTTTATTCTCCAATGATAACCTGCAACCCAGCAAGCTCCGAAGCCGCACTTCCTAGAATCCATTGACTCTCTACAGGTCATGCCCTAAGGCTTTATGGATTTGATTGTGTCTCTGATGGAGAATAGTGCTATCTGTTATTATCTGCACTATCTAAGAAGCATCATGTCGCCAAGGCGATGATTAACATTGATTTTCTGGCTGCATCGCACCTACCCAGGTGGGCACATGGGCACCTGCCAAAATAGGAAGTTGCCACTTACCTAATAAACACATAACATCATGAAGAAGCACTAATTTATGTTGGCTTGGTATACACATGGACACTGGTAAATAAACTCTTTGCTCAAGAGGTTGGTATTGGCGAACATGGCGACACCTGCTATAAGTGTAGTAAGTGTAGAGCTCTTTGAATCAAGGCATACATAAGCTCTTTCCCCCGCTCCTAACCTCTATAACCTGAATTGAGTGAGGGAGTAAGACTAACCCTCAATTTTAATCCGTCTAACTTTTTGGTAGAATGCAGCCATTGGGAATTGAGCACCAAAAGAAAAGTCAATTGCACTAGCATGGTTTGCTAAGCCACTACCTGGTCTATGTACCTACATCATAGCAATCCTTATCTGTCCCCGGCCGTACTAGGCCAGATTGGTAAATCAGTATCAAGAGCAAGTAGGCTCCTTTTAACTATATTGAGCTAGATGATCCGAGAATTTCCACATCTGGCCTACTCCTGACTTCTAGTAGTTGGAAGAATAAGATGATCATATAGCTTTTACTCCGTATAGCGAGCGTCTGCTATTTTTGACTTTTGTTAAATTGCCCTTCACGGCTGTCCCGCGGATTCCGCTCCGGGACCGGGAAGCCGACCACACCGCCTAGGGTATATCTGCTTCACATGGAGTGCGTCGAAGATGAGTCGGTGGAACGGAGCTACGGTAGTCCATGAGGATTCCTAAATTGTAGGAACTGCAGACGATCCCAGATGCAGATTGCTGCAGTTATGGGACTTTGAGCCGGACATGGCGGCTTCTGTGGGAGGGTCCAAGCTTAAGGAGGTCGCACGCAGCACGCAATGCACGAGAGCTACTAGTGTGAGGCACGAGCTTTCATTGTTTTGAGCAATTCCCGAATAGTATTCTGTATACGGAATATGTTGTACTGTTTACTCTGTATGGAGTAACCGAAATTGTAGAAATGACATAATATGGAGATCCGTGATGTTCCGCATATATGGGCCCAAGAGAGAAAAAAAGGCGCGAAATATCAGCCAATCCACGGATGGGGGGACTATTGAAAATTGAACCTCCACACCCTTTTTTATTTTGGAGATCACTGCAATAATGACTCAGAACCATATGACAGGTGGATAAGGACCTTGCGACCTGCCTATTGGCGCCTGTTTATCAAATGGGTCTGAGGTTTTTTAGCGCCCAAATTCTTTTCTGTTAAGTTGGCAGGGTTGCCTTTTGGAATCTTGTGCAACCAGAAGAGGGGAAAAAAGAGTACATAGATGATAGCATCATGAACATCGTACGGTTGCACATGTTCGAAAGAATAAGAAGTCAAAAAAAAAAGCCAAACAATAAACCTCGGCGATACAGCTTCACCGCATATTGGAAGTGGAGATCCGGATGAAAGAGCCCAAAAGCACGAACAGCGATTGGGCGTCAAGCTTGAAAGATGCTCCAAGTGAAAGACGAAAAGACCAAAAAGGAAAGGTGTAATGTATATGGTCACTATGCCAACTGTTTCCCCACTCTCTGAGCTGTGCCGTCAGAGGTTTTTTTGTACTTTGGGCTGAGATTTTTTTTTTCTGCCTTTTTCCCCTCCTCCATCTTCACACCCTATTGCTCTGTGAGCTTGTGTTTTCTGTACACGATACAAATCTAGCGTTAAATCTTTGCTGGTCAAATTGTGAAACATCATCCTAATACCCTACCGATCATCCTTTTACGACATTACGAATTTGAAACGAAATAAACCATGGCCAGCGTGCAAGAGCCCCTTATCCCGGAAAGCCATGCGCTGCCCACAGATGCTCCGGTTGAGCCCATTTCATCCATAGATGAGAAGTCCACTGCAAGCGCAAGTGAGGCTAATCTGAGCGAATCAACCGCTACCTTGGTTGAAGCCGACTCTACACAACAATCCAAAGATTCAACCCAGCCCGAGGTCCCAATGACCGCCGCGGAAAAGAAGAAGGCCAAGAAGGCAAAGAAGAAGCAGCAAAAGAAACAGGAGAGTATTAGCTCCATTGCTGCCGAGCAAACCCCCGAGATTCCAGCCGTCCCCGAGACCCAAACTGCAGAGCCTGCAGTAGAGGAATCGGCACCAGTCGAAGCTTCCAAGGAGGCTGAACCCGCCACTGAGCCAGTGGTTGAGGAAAAGACCGCAATTGAATCAACGGAAGAGTCGAAGCCGGCCGAGAAGGCTGTCGATGCTACCGAGGCACCAGTGCTTGAGGAAAAGCCTGCTGAAGCTACTGAAGAGCCAGTTGCCGAAGTAGTGGCCGAGGAGAAGCCTGCAGCTGAAGAACCCGAAGCTGCTGAGAAGGTCGCCGAGCCCATCACAGAAGAATCGAAGACTGAGCCCACCACTGAAGCTGCCACGGAAGAAAAGGCCGCCGAGCCAATTGTCGAAGAGACTCCCGCCGCGGATGAAGTCAAGGCCGCCGAGGAAGTTGCTGAGCCTATCGCCGAGGAGAAGCCTGTGGAAGAAAAGCCCACCGAGGCCGTTCCCGAAACTGCCGCTGAGCCTACCGTCGAACAGCCCGCTGCCGAAACCGCCGTGGAAGAATCCAAGGCTGTGGAGGATATCGTTGAGCCTACTAAAGAGGAGTCAAAGACCGCCGAGGCTGTTCCTGAAGCTGCCGTGGAAGAAAAGATCCCCGAGGTCGTTCCTGAAACCACCGAAGCCGCCAAGGAAGAGACTCCCGCCGCTGAAGCTGCCGTAGAAGAATTAAAGGTTGTGGAGGCTGCTCCCGAAACCACTCAGGAGGCGCCCGCCGTCGAAGAATCTAAGGCTGAGGTTGCTGAGCCCACCCCTGAAGCTGCTGTGGAGGAGAAGACTGCCGAGGTCGTTCCCGAAATCACCGAGGCCGCCAAGGAAGAGACTCCCGCTGAAACTGCTGTGGAGGAACCTAAGGCTGTTGAGGAGGTTGCTGAGCCCACCACTGAGGCCGCCACGGAAGAAAAGACCACCGAGGCTGTCCCCGAGACTGTAGCTGAGGAGACTCCTGTCGCTGAAACTGCTGTGGAAGAAGCAAAGCCTGTTGAGGCTGTCTCCGAAACTATCGCTGAGCCTACTATCGAAGAGACTCCGGCTGTGGCAGATTCAAAGGCCGAAGAGGCTGTTCCTGAAATCGCCCAGGAGACCCCCGCCGTCGAAGAATCTAAGGCTGAGGTTTCCGAGCCAGTCACCGAGGAGAAGCCCGCCACTGAGGAAAAGGCTGCCGAGGCCGCTCCTGAGGCTGTCACAGAGGCTGTCGAAGAGACTCCCGCCGTGGAAGAATCTAAGGTTGAGGAAGTTACTAAGCCTGCCACTGAAGAAAAGGTTGAGGCCGCTTCCGAAACTCCCGCCGTGGAAGAACCCAAGAGCGAGGAAGCTGTTCCTGAAATCGCCCAGGAGACTCCCGCCGATGAGGAATCGAAGCCTGCTACAGAAGCCGCCACAGAAGAGAAGGCCGCTGAGGTCGTCCCCGAGACAGTCGCCGAAGAGACTCCCGCCGCTGAAGCTGTTGTGGAAGAATCCAAGCTCGTCGAGGCCGCTCCTGAGCCTGTCGCGGAGACTCCTGCCGTGGAAGAATCCAAGGCCGAGGAGGTTGCTGAGCCTGCTACCGAAGAAAAGGTTGCCGAGGCCGTTTCTGAAACTCCCGCTGCGGAGGAATCTAAGACTGAGGAGGTTGTTCCTGAAATCACTCAGGAGACACCCTCTGTTGAGGAATCCAAGGCTGAGGAGGTCGCTGAGCCTATCACCGAGGAAAAGGCGGTCGAGGCTGCTCCTGAGGCTGTCGCAGAGACTCCGGCTGTGGAAGAACCCAAGGCTGAGGAGGCTGCTAAGCCTGCCGCTGAAGAAAAGAATATCGAGGCCGTTTCTGATACTCCCGCTGCGGAAGAATCCAAGGCTGTCAAGGTTGCTGAGCCTACCACCGAGGAGAAGCCTGCTACTGAGGAAAAGGCCGTCGAGGCCGCTCCTGAAACCGTCGCAGAGCCTATCGTTGAGGACACTCCTGCCGTTGAAGCTGCCGTGGAAGAGTCAAAGCCCGTCGAGGCTGCTCCTGAAATCGTCCAGGAGACGCCCGCGGCTGAGGAATCCAAGGCTGAGGAGGCTGCTGAGCCTATTTCCAAGGAAGAGCCCATCACCGAATCCGCCACGGAAGAGTCGAAGCCCGCCGAGGCCGTTGCCGAAACCGTCGCTGAACCCGCTGTTGAGGAGACTCCCGCCGCTGAAGCTGCTGTGGAGGAACCCAAGACTGTCGAGGCTATTACTGAGACCACCGCAGAGCCTGTCGTCGAAGAAACTCCCGCTGTGGAGGAATCTAAGACCGTCGAGGCTGTTCCCGAAACCGTCCAGGAGACCCCCGCCACCGAAGCAGCCGTGGAAGATTTCAAGCCTGCCGAGGAGCCAGTAACCGAGAAGGCTGTCGAGGAACCGATTGTGGAGGCAGAGGCTGAGAACAGCGCTGACACCACCGCGGCCGTTTCAGAGATTGCTACAGAGGCACCTGTTGAGGAGCCAACTGCCGAGGTTTCCGAGCCCAAGGAGGAAGTCGTCTCTGAGCCCACCAAGGAGGTGGCCGAGGAGGCTCCTGTTGAGCAGCCTGTCACTGAGGAATTGGCTGCTGAGCCAGCCAAGGACGCTGAGGTTGTCGAGTCTGTTCCCGAGCAGACTGCTGATGCTGCTAAGGAATCTGCTGTCGAGCCTTCTGAGGTTGCTGCTGCTGAGACTGTCACTGAGCCCGCTGCTGAAGTAATTGAAGAGCCTGCCGCCGTTGTCGCCGAGGAGGCTACTACTGAGGAAGCCCAGAAGCCTGCTGAGGTTGAGCCTGTCCAAGAGACTACCGAAAAGGCTGTGCCAGAGGAACCAGTTGTGGAAGAACCTGTGGCCGAAAACGCCGAAAACGCCAAGGACGTGACTCCTGAGGAGTCCGCCGTTGTCGCTGAGACCGCCGAACCCGCTGCCATTGAGACTGCTGCTGTTCCTGAGGCCGCCGAAGTTGCCGCCATTCCCGCTGCAGCTGCGGCTGCTCATGTCACTGAGGAGTCTCCCGCTGTTCCTCAGGCGGCCGCCGCTATTGTCGAGGAAAACGCTGCTGCTACTGAGTCTGTGCAAGAATCAGTGGAGGAGGCTATCCCCGCCGAGACTGCCAAGGAAGTCGCTACTGAGCAGCCTGAAGCTACCAAGGCTGAGGAGGTAACTGAACAGACCACCGAAGAGCCCGTGGCTGACAAGGCTGTTGAGGAGCCCGTTGCTGAGACCTCTGCCCCAGAGCCGGTTGTCGAGGTTGCTCCCGTTGTTGAAGAAACTCCCGTCGAAGAGCCTGCTAAGGAACTTGCCGTCGAGGAGCCCATTAAGACCGAGGATCCTGTCATTGCTGATGTTATTGCGGACGAGGCCGAGAAGGTCGAGGAGAAGCAGCCTGAGGCCGAAGCTGTTGCCGAGCCAGTTGTTGCTGAACAGATTGAGACTGTCGCCGTTGAAGAGCCTGTTTCTCAAGCCGCTGAGCCTGCTGCCGCCGAAGAGAAGGTTGTGGATGAGCCAGTCACAGTCGCAGAGACCGTTGAAGTTGCTGCCATTCCTGAGGTTGAGGCTGTCACTGCTGAGCCTGCTGTTGCTGAAACTCCCGCTGTCGAAGAAAAGACCATTGAGGAGCCAGTCACTGTTGCAGAGACTGTTGCAGAGACTGTTGAAGTTGCTGCCGCTCCTGGCCCTGCGGCTGAGGTCGAGGCTGTTATCGCCGAGCCCGTTGTTGCTGAAACTCCCGCTGTTGAGGAAAAGACTATCGATGAACCTGCTGCCGTTATCGAAACCGTAGCCGAGTCAACTCCTGAGCCTGTTTCCGAACAGACTTCCGAGGTGGCACACGTCGAAGAAACTGCCGCTGAGGCACCAACTACCGAGAAGGCTGAGGATGTGAAGGAGCCCGCCACTGTCGAGCCCACCATCCAAGCTACCGAGGTTGTTGAGGCACCAGTTGTGGAGGAGCAGATTGCCGCAGATCCTGTCAAGGTTGAGGAGCCCGTCGAAGCTGCTGCCCCCGCGGAGAAAATCCCCGAGGCAGCTCCAGTGGAGGAGTCTACCAAGGAGCTCGAGCCCGAGACAACCGTGGCCGAGGATGTTGCCATTGAGCAGCCCGCCATGGTTGCTGAGGAGGCCGCAGCCGAAGCCCCAGCTGTTGCTGAGGTTGTCGAGGAGACCGTTGTTGCAACCGAGGAACCCTCGAAGGTCGAAACCGCCGAGACTGAAGTTGCCGCCATTCCTGAGCCCATTACCAGCACAGAGGAGCCCGAGGTGGTGGCTGAGACATCCGATGTGAAGGAGGCAATTCAGCCCTCCACCACTGATGTTGAAACTAAGCAGGAAGAGACCGTTGCCTCCGCTTCTGACGAAACTTCTACCAAGGATACTAGCACCAGTGCTGAACTTCTTGGTGCCGGCGCTGCTGGCGTTGCCGCTGCCGCCCTTGCTGGTGCTGGCGTGGCCGCTCTTGCTCACAAGGACTCCGAGACTACAGCTGAGACCTCGAAGGATCAGAAGGACCCCCTACCTACCGATGCAGACAAGGAACCCGTTACTAAGGCTGAAAACCAGCCCCAGGTTTCCGCAGCAGATGCCCAGCCCGCTGACGGTAAGCCAACACCGTTCTATCTTTCATACCAGCAATCTGCCGTATCGTTCGAAACTGATCCCGCTCTTGCAGCACTCGCTGGCGACCGTGAAGCCCTCCTCAGCAAACTCAACCAACCGTCTACAGACCAACTGTCTACAGCTACCCAGCAGCCAACAGTCGAGAGTGTCGCCGAGTCCCAGCCTGCCGCCGAGGCCAGCAAGGGAACCACCGAACCGGCTGCCAATGTGTCCGACGCCAAGCCTGCTGCCGATAGCACTCTTACTCCCAAGGATAATGATGAAGATGCTCGTCCAGCGAGCCAGAACCGGTCAGTGACTGCTGTTTCTCTAAATGGTGCACCTGACAGCTGGCTCAAAGCAATCTTGCGCACTGTCTTTGTGAATTTCTTTGGAGCCATCTTTTCACCTTTCCGTCGTGGAAAGTCCTCGTCCAATTAGATTGAATCTTGTGTTTTCCTGTGCTTTGCCTTCTAGCCAGTTGTCTTTATTTCCTTGGGTGCTACTATCGAAGAAAATCGTGGTCATCACGCATAATCTGCTTTCAAACTAATTAACTGACTGATTGATCAGCAGTTTGTTTTGGATTGCGATTTTTGTCATGCCCATCGTTGCAATTTTCTGGCGTTTTTCAGACAAGTGAGACGCCAATGTTGGTACTACTGCCAGAGACGGTACCCTGCGATAGTCACGTGCGATCACGTGCCGACACGAGCCCTTGGAACTTCGAGCAACTATATCCGTGGCATTACGAAAGTGCGTGGCATCACGAAGTATAAAACTCCGGGCCATTTCGTTCCGCTCGCCGACTTTATTCCCCTGTATTATCTGTTTCTGCTTCATATTTACGAATTCCATTGCGTCTTGATTTGATTTTGATTTTTCTTATGGTTAATGATTTCCTTTTGTTGTCTCCAATGCTATGTTGGTGTTGGCATGGCCGGCTGCTCTTGATGGATCTGTCTGACTTGCTATGTATCCAGTATACTTAATGACATGAATTTGATGAATAACTTATACTTATAACATTCTTTATACTTGTTTCTTTGCGCTTGTTTGCCAGTAATCTTTTGGCTTCTTTGTGTGTTTTATTGCATCTGTAGGACTTTCTTTGTTCTTACGATGCTGTATCTTGCTGGCCTTTGTGTTAGTGTAACTATGGTAAAGATTTGTATATAACTTTGCCAATTTCTTCATGAAGGAATATGGTTCTTCTTGCATTCCTTTCGGGTTTTCCTTGCTTTCCTAGTGTGATGGCTGTTCGTATACTCAATATAATGTGGGTGGAGAGTCTGCAAACGCAGATAACCTCGGCCATAGGTTGCCCAGATGGATCGTTCCTTCGATGTTGGGAATATGAGCCATATGCTGAGCAGGCAGTCCTAGTTTCCCTTTGGGGTGGTCAATGATGGCTGTCACCATGAACCCTGGGGCACGTGCTAAGTGTTGTTGGACCCTTCTCTTCGACACGGTTTCTTCGTCTTGTTATTGCCACACGCGTCCCTCTTCTTCTTTTTTTCTCCCAACCATCACAACTCGCATCTTTTTCTTCAAAGAATATCAGAAGACATGGCGAGAAAAAGTCAAGGTTAGTATCATTCTTTCAGTTGTCAAGCATTCATCCCCTTTCAGCCTCATGGAGTGTCTCTTTCGGTGCTCGGGCCTCGTTCGACCGAGTACACCATGGAACTGGCCTTTCCTCCAGACTCAAGTCTCTCCCTACGAGACTGAGTCTGGTTCCTGGGAATCAGGTTTCTTCTCCATGGGACTGAGCTTTGGCTCCTGGTAACCCGGTCTTTTCAATGTGACTGAGCCTGGCTCTGGAGAATCGGGTCCTTTGTTGAGAGATTGAGCCATTCTGTTTGCAGAATTGGGCTTCTTTCTTTGGGCTTGGCTCTTTGGAATCGGCTCCCTTGCTATGAGATTGAGCCATTCTGCCTGCAGAGTCGGACCTCAGCTTGGCTCCTGGGAATTGGCTCCCTTGCTATAGAAATGGACATGATTCTTTTGAATCAGGTCTTTCTTTGGCATTGGGATTGCTTCCTGGTGATCGGATCTACTTGGATCTGTACAAGCAACCCCCTTTATATGGCGGCCCTTTCTATGGAAGCAGGTCCTACGGGCAAAGGAACTATTCTTTTGCCTATAGGCTATGCCCCGAAAGAAAGAATGGAAAGAGATATACTCAAAAACATGAGAGATATCTATCACTTTGGTCTCACATGGTCAATTGATGGCTTTCACTTCCAGTTCAGTTCAAAGCAATAAGGGTTAGGATGGGTCACTGACTGGATGTTCTTATAGATACCGATTCGGAAGGTCCCCGCGGCCGTACTGGCCGGCCTGAGACGCCCTCCTCTGCGACCTCGTCTCATTCTCGCCGCAGCACCCTCTCCCAGCGCGTACACTTCGAAGAGCCCGACATGTGCAACCCACTGGCATCTCCTCGTTCTGACGTGACTGTTACTACAGTCCCGGTGCCTGTGCCTGCCAAATCGACCAACCCTAAGGTTGGTTTGCCTTCGACGAGTGTTGCAGGTAGTAGTGCGCAGTCCCTGGACCAGTTGCCTGCACCTTCACATGACAAGCGTAATGCGTTCGCCCAACGCAAAACAAAAATCTCTGCCCCTGCCCCCTCTGTCCCTTCTGTCCCCTCTGTCCCCTCTGTCCCCTCTTCCTCCCACCCTCGCCCTCACTCTCTTCGCTCTTCCCTCCGTTCCTCTTCCATCCCTCCTGTTCCTCCTATCCCTGCCTCAATCCTGAAAAATCGACCTGGCAACCTCGTTGTTCCCCAAATCAAACCTCGCTCCTCTTCTGCTCCGCCATCTCCACCCAAGATGGCTGACAGCTCCAATGTTCCGGAGGGCAACAACAAGCCACTCCCCGTGTCTCCCTCCAACAGATACGACCCACGCACACCCAGTCCTCGTACACCCATCTTCCGAAAGGATGGCATGCGCCGTTCCAGCCTCAGTCCAATGGAGCAGCGTACTACGGGTGCCAGTTCCACCGCTAGCAGTCCTACTATTCACCGTTCGAGCTTGACCCTCAAGGATCTTCCTGAGGCTGTTCGGTCTCTCCAGTACAAATATGACACAGACTTCAAGCGACTCACAAAGAAGATCGATGATATCGACAAGCTCGGACAGAAAGTTGATGACTTTGTTATCCTGACTCGAGACTATGTCCAGGACCAAATGGATGCCCAGTTTGAGCGCGAGTCCGAGATATCTATCGAAATTACCAATGCCAAGCGTGACGTGAATGACACCAAGGAGCAGATTCACGAAATGCGACTCGAAATCAACGGACTCACCTCGACTGTCAATGACCTGAGTGCTAAAGTCGACATGTGTCTCACTGGAATCTATGACAACACCGCAGAACCATTCGTGGTCTACCAGCGACGCAAGAACAAAGAGATCGACGAAGATATTCAAGACATTGGGGATCAAACTGTCGATCAGGGAGCGCAGATCACCTACTTGAGACAAATGCTCATTCGTACTCAGATTGCTCTCAGAGTCTTGCAACAAGAGAACGGTCTTAAAGTTTCTGAAGATGTGGCAAATATTCTTCCACCCACCCCTTTGCCTGCACGCGACACCGTTCCACCCACTGGTACCCTGAGAACTCTTGCCTCCTCGGAGTCTACAGCAATTCCACCAGCGAAAGCCGCTGCCCCAGCAAAGAACACTCCTGCAGTAAAGAGCGCCCCGCAAGCAAATACCATTCCGCAAGTAAAGATCACTGCTCCAGCATCAGCTACTCCGCCAGCATCAGTCACCGGATCAGCAACAATCACTCCGCCAGGATCGTCCACCGTGAAACAGAGTTCCATCCCACGACGTTCGAAGAAGAAGAAGAGTTCAAAGAAGTCTTCCAGCGGGTCCTCCGGCTCCACTGTTGCGAACCAGACCGCCACCACCGAGGAAGAGACGGTCCCTCCTGTCCCCCCGGTCCCCCACGGGATCATCCTGCCTCTCGATGCTGTCCGCGATGCGCCCAATATCCCCCTCGGCCACATTCACCCACTGTACAGACCACAGTTCAGTGAGATGAACGCGGAGGATATTCCTACAGCCCCTACCACCTGCACCGAGGAGTCTTAGGGCCCCGTGTCCACCAATGAGTCTGGAAAGAATGACTCGCAAGTAGGCGAGCAAGTCCAGTACTCAAAAATATGCAACTACACAGGAAAGAAAAACCAAAAAAAAATTTAAAACGAAAACCCTCACAAAAAAAAGTACCTAAGAAAAAGGAAAAAAAGAAAAAAGAAAACAGTGTACAAGTTCTCATCTTTGTTGGATTTGAAGGACATGGGGCCAGATTTGTTAGATTTTGTTGTTATATTAGCATGTCAATGAACATGTTTGATTACAATTCCCAAGAAGTGTAGATTGTAGCTGAATGTGCATGTAAAATTAATCAAAACAGTATTTACTTAGAAGAGGACATCATCATCTTTTCAATCTCGACCGCCGACTCTCGCACCTGTGGACAGTAATGCAGACGCAACAGCTCACCCTCCCACACCGAACCAGCAAAGACATTGGTAGCTTCAATATCAGCAGCATAAGCATTGAACACACCATCACCCTTGCGCTCCTCCGTATGCCACAGCGAAGAGATACGACGACCATGATATTTCGAGACCTGGTTCATGAGCGTAAGAGTCGCAAGGGCAGACTTCTCCGGCAGCTGGAGGGAGGTCGTCATGAGACGCTTGGAGAAACTGGCAAGTCGGCTTGGGGGCGGATTGCCGTGTGCGCGGGATAGCAGGGTTGGCTGCAAACAGCGAAGGAGGAGAACCATTGGGGTCTGGAAGTTGACCTTGTTCTTGGAGCGGGACTCGGAGAGTTGTTTGCCTTCTGTGGAGGAGTTGGGGTCGGGGAGGCGGAGGGCTGTGTCGGGGTTGAACTCGACGTCTGGGTTCATGGAGAGGGAGTAGAGGGATCGGTAGAGGTGCTTGATGAAGAAGTTCAGGTCGAGGTGGAGACCTGCGGCTGCTTTGCTGACTTCTTGGCCTTCTAGAAGGGCGAATGCAGTCACGGTGCAGAGTAGCGTCCTTCGGCGAGCGTCGCGGGCTGCGCTTTCGGCAATTGTGAAATTGTCTTCGTCTTCGTCGTCTTCCTCGTTGACGACTTCCTGGTCGCCTTCCACGCCCATTTCCTCGCGCTCTGCGTGGTTGATTAGGTCTTTCAGAGCCTCGAGCAAATCACCAAAGAAGTCCTGGTTAATAAGGTGGGCGTATTTGGCCAGACCCTCCAGTACAGGACCCATCAATGCGGGAATGCGGAGCTTGAGAATGCGGAAATAGAGTCCGAACACAAGCTTTAGTGTTTCGGCCTGGTTCTTGTCTCTTTGTTCGTGCGATACAACTGCGTCTGCTTGTCGCATATCCTTCTCGACTTCCTTCCGCTCCTTGTGAATCTTGCGCTCTCGCTTCGTGCGGAATTCGCGCTTTTGCTTTTGCTTCTTTCCTTGGGGGGCTTCTTCTTCTTCCCGGTCAACACGGTCTCGGGATGCCTTCAAGTGGAACTCGCCGAGCAAACGAAGATGGAGGAATGTGTCCAAGACACTGGGGTGAATGTGGAAGTCTCTGGCCTTCAACATCTTTGCTAGCAGACGAACAGCTTCGAGGGAAACGGTTCCATCGTCATCTTTGGCGAAAACCTCCTCCATAGTTTCGCGGCACTTGACATAGTCGGCATCAACCTGTCTCCGTGCAAGGCGGTTAACCAAAATCTTCAGAAGCTCACTGCGGAAATTGAAGTGTGGCACGGCCAAGAGCATAGTGCATGCCATTGAAATCGCGAAGCTCCTCAGTCCAGCATCAGTGGGGTTATCTCCTTTAGCCGGCTTTACAAGCGTAGCAAGCTTCTGAACGTAGGCTCGATATCCTGACACAAGGGACTGTTCGAAGTCTCGGAGCTTCCGCACTTCTTTTGATACCCTTCCAGTCTGGTCTTCTTCGCTTAGAGGACGAATACGGTATCCTGGGATGACATCCTTGTAGATAGCCGCTTGTGAGGCCAGAGCCAGTTTCTTAACCGTGATAGGTGTGGATTTTTTCGACACCATCTCGGCCATTGTCTTGAACAGAGAGATGTGCTCCTCGGGATCCTCATTGATCAGGGTTGCCATCTTCGCAAGCTCCTCCTTTGCCTGCAAGATTTGTAACTTCACCGGGATCTTGGGTGCTTCTTCCTCGGGTTCTTCTCTGTCCTCCTCACCCTCGGAGCCATCCTCATCATCATCGTCATCGGTACCCAGGAAGCTGTCGGTTTCCTCGCTCTGGTCTTCAGGCTGTACTTCAGCCTGAACAAAGCCTTCAGAGGTCTTGATTGGCAATCGTGCGTTCTCGCCGGCTTTCTTGGTGTGTTTGCGCGGGCGGCGTTCGTAGTCTTGCTCAACATCCCACTCTTCGGCTTTGGAGCGCGATGAAGAGTCCTCAACATCCGCTGGAGGACTCAATCGTCTCCGCTTCACTTCCGGGCCACGCGCCATTTTGTAATTGGAGATTTGGGGATTGACGGTGAAATTTGCGGAGAATAGCAAAAAAGATCTTTAGAGTGAAAAGGCGGTCCAGAAAATTCTAGGCGGAAAGAAAATTGGTGCTCTGATTGGCTCTTCATGTCCGCTCCGTCGCTATAAGTTTCAGGTCCGGTTCTTGGCGGTGAGATATTGCCCGACTTTAGTTTTTTTCTTGTTCCTCACTTCTCGTCAATACAAGCTCGTTGCTACTCAACCTTTTTGCCATATCCTCAGCTTCATATCCGACAATATGAGATCCCTCACAGAAGTGCGTACTAGTACGATGAGCATTGATTACTTCGACTAACTCATGCCTCTTTTAGGAAGAGACACGGACGCTCTTCACGAAGCTAGCTTCCTACACCGGCCGCAGTCTCAATTCTCTTATTACCCCGGCTGAAGATGGATCTATGAGTGTTTTCCGCTTGCAAGGATCCCGGGTTTACTACGTGAACAAGGAAATTGCCAACTTGAGCGTTTCATTCCCTCGCGAAAATTTGCTGAGCTGCGGCACAATGATAGGGAAGTTTACTAAGGTTCGTTACGATTGGCTCTGCTGTTATTCTAGTCAGTCATGCTAACATGCTGGCAGACGGGCAAGTTCCGCATCAACCTGACAGCTCTGGATCTCCTGGCGCAACACGCCCGGTACAAGGTATGTATAACAATATAAGCATTGCAACAAGACATCATGCTAACTCTATATCTCTGGTACAGGTCTGGATCAAAGCAAACGGAGTGATGGTAAGCTTGATATTCCAATTTCCAGTAGGGTATGCGTGGGCCGTTGCTAACAAGTTTTAGCCTCTGCTCTATGGCGGTTCAGTTCTAAAAGCCCATGTGGCTCGTTTCAGTGAAGATGTCCCAGAAAATGCAGGAGTTGTCATTATGGACTCCAACGATGTCGCCCTGGGATTCGGAGTCACAGCAAGGTCATCCGCGCAGATCGCAAAATTGGACCCTACTAGTATCGCGGTCCATCGCCAGGTAGGTGGAACTTAGCTCTGTGCTCTTACTTACATTAGCTAACCCAAATGAACAGGCCGATGCAGGAGAGTACCTTAGAGAGGTGAGTCGGGTCTATCTTCAAATTCTCAAGGACCAAATTGCTAATATCTATACTAGGAGGATACCTTGTTCACAACCTAAGCAACTTCGACACGACACTGAATCTTACATATTTGCACCTCGCAAAAGGCGTTTGGGAGTTTCACCTGATCTATTTGATCTTACAAAAGTTGATTGTACTTTGTACCATCGAATCCTGTGCTCATTGCTTCTAATGTGATGAATTGATGGCAAATATTGACCAACAACTTCTCTGTAATGGTTACTATATGAAAATACATACTCTGAATACACACAAATCCATGTCTAATATGTATAATGAAAATCAATAGTCATGCCAAGTTTATCTATGGAAATGTATAGCCCTTGTAGTTGATATAGGACTTTTCGGAGATGCGATGAGTCAGCACGATGCCATCAGATGCATCCAACCTTGGAAAGGCGCGGGACGAGAACTCACTACAGACCTCGTAGCCCTGGTGTTTTTCGTATCTTCCAGGCCAAACAGAAATTCTCTCACCCCAGCATTACAAACCACACGCTTTCAATCCCCTAGCGTGCTTCCACCACTTATTGCGTTTCTCCTGCGCGTAGTGGGCACAAATATTGCCAACCCCCCACCATGCCACCCTACACAACCAGCCAGAAACACCAAATCGCTGAGTTTGTCGGCTGCACACAGACTAAAGACTCAGTTGCTATTAAAGTGAGTAACTTGCATGCTTTTCTGACATATTCTTCCCTAGGCGATATGTTTCAACATCTTAAGACGCTTCTGTCCGATCACGTGGATCAACAGACTAACTTTCTGATATAGTTCCTTAAAGCATGTGGTTGGAGTTTACCTCCAGCGCTTGATGCGTAAGTGCTTGTCATCACACTTATGTCAAAATTTTGGTGTATCTTGGTTTCATTTGTCTCCAACCCTTGCCTGGACATGTGGTGTTGAGTCCAAGATGCCAACAGATAGCTAGAGCATCAAAGCTTCAACATCTGTTCTTCTCTTCTCAGGGCTTGCCCAAGCCCAACTTGGAGAAATTCTTGGTTTCCTACTGCATCAGTCATCATCCCAAATGCCTCGAATTAAGAAGACGAAGAAGAAGTGCTTGCCATTCCCTAGCCCCATGACAATATACCCAACCATCTTGTTCCAGCGGAATCATACATGGCCTACGCTTGAAACACCTCAAAGCTAATTTTGTCGCTGAAATAGTTTCTTCGCCGCTGCGTCTGGCAACTCCGCAATTATAACCTCAGAACTTACAAAGACCTTCGACCACTACCGAGGTACTTACCCACCCTGAACAGGTGCTTTTGATACCGGAAATACTCACGCCTCCACAGATGACCCAGTCGACAGCCCAGATACCATCGGTATCACACGAGCAATAGAGTTCCTCGGTGATCTGAATGTCGAGCTCGACGAAGTAACCTGTCTAGCCATCGCCGAGCTCCTCAAATCACCATCGATGGGCGAGTTCACCCGCGAAGGATGGAGAGAAGGATGGCTGGGAGTTGGGTAAGTGCAAATTCGTTGATGGAGACCCCCTTCAACTCAAACCCCAACATCCCCAAATCATATTCCATCCAATCTAACAATCCACAAGCTGCGACATCATACCAAAAATGCAAGCGCACGCCAAGCTCCTCCGGGAGCGAATCCCACAAGATCCATCCATCTTCCGACGAGTCTACAGATACGCATTCCCACTCTCACGAATGCAAGGACAGCGTAACTTGCAATTCGAAATCGCCGCCGAGCAGTGGCGTCTCTTCTTCACCACTGATCATGGCGGCGTGGCGTGGAACACGGCCACGACGCCGTGGCTGGATTGGTGGATTGAGTTCCTTGAAGAGCGCGGGAAAAAGCCTGTTAATAAGGATCTGTGGGAGCAGGTCGAGGTGTTCATGCGCAAGAGTCTCGAGGATGAGGAGATGGGCTGGTGGAGTCCTGATGGGGCTTGGCCTGGTGCGCTGGATGACTTTGTTGCTTGGGTGCAGGCTAAGCGGGGGAAGGGGTCGGAAATGGAGGTTGAATAAGGTGGCATCTAGTTTATCCGTGGATGCTGGATATGAGGGATTTTTTCTCGTTCCCGGATGGGTTGCGGCATGGTGTGTGGCATGACAGATTATTTACTCTTCGGAATCCACGCTACTTCTATTATCCACTAACATGCTTCCTGTGTCTCAGATCTTTTGCAGTTATGATTAAATCAACGATAGCCACGTGTACCCGCTTCATGTCAAGGGTGGTTGCATTTCTTTCGGTTTTCTCTATCCCGACTTGCAGGTGTATATTGAAGTATAGATTGGCGGAGGTAGAAGCAATGGCGCGTCTAGCTCAAACGAAGAAATATATATATATATAATACCGATATTCAAGGGGTGGAATTGGAATAAGAGAAAGATATAAAGCCATTCGTCATGAGATTGAGTGATAACATCAGGGGGAAATATCTGCGGCATATCAAGATGCACAGGGTGTGTGTACATGGATTTAGATCAACACCGGAGAATAATAAACAAAGGAAAAAGACAAATCGGTGACAGCAAACGAGCCAAAAGAGACGACACACAAAGGTCTCCGACACGTCCGGTTGTGTTTGCAGTCAATTGCGGACTCGGCCCATTTAAGGGAAGTCGCGCTTCTCGTAGCCGGGGTCGCGACGCTGGTCGTAGCGCTGTCGTGTCATTAGCAATTGAGTCGCAATTGTCGCAATTCTAACGATTTGTATCATACCTTCCGGAGAGCTTCCAGACGCTTCTTCTTGGTGTGGGTGTTGACATAGGTTCCAATGAAGAATCCGACAATGTTGAAGAAGGGCACCCAGGTGTGCTCGGGGAGGAACTTCTGAGCGAAGGCCAAGCACAGGGGCGAGGTGATCCAGCTGACCTTCATGACGGGCATGAATCCAGCCTTAACGGTCGCGCGAACCTGGTGGATGGTGCGCGCACCGGCGATAATAGCCATGGAGGTTAGGTAGACGCTGTTCTGGATGGGGGAGACCTGGGGAGACGAGTGACGTTAGCGAAGGTCATGCGGGTCAGGTGATGCAAGCGACGACAACGTACAATCAGATTGCTAACGAGGATCTGAAGAATCTTGGCCTTGAGACTTGTGCGGCCGGCGAAGATCTTCTGCAAGATGCCAATGAGGACGTGGCCGAGGGGGGCGCTGATGAACATTCCGTACAGCGACATCTTGGGAATGCGCGAGCTGAAGTAATGGCCGTGCTTGCCTACATCGTGGGCGATCCACGAAGCCAGCAGTTCCTGCAGACCGGAGAGCACACCGGAGGTGAGCATCTTCGTGCGCAGAGGGTTCTTCTGGAGCTGGAGGAGGTAGGCCTATTGACGATCCATTCCTCGGATCAGTGTCGGTTCGATATTATTGGAGGAGGAGGGGACGCTGCATACCTGAAGATACCCAGCTGCTGTCTTTCCACCGGTCAATCGTTCACCGACGCGGTGCACGAGGTCCTCGGGCTTGCCGCCGCCCGTGACGGTGCGGACGGTCTCCTCTTGGAACTTGACGGACATTGTGGTGATCGGAGGGGGCTGGGGGAGGACAGGATTCCGGAGGGATCAGGAGGGCTCTTCAAATTAGACACGTTCCTAAAATAAGTTAAGATTTGAATTGGATTAATATGTAATGGATGATAAGGTGCCCAAGTGGAGAAATTGAGAAGACGATGGGGGGTGAGACCGGGGGGGATCTTGTTTGTTTATGTTGGCCCGAGGGTGGCTGGGATAGGATAGGACAGCCGAGGCTTTCCAATATAGAACTCACACAAAATATCTCAATTCTGTTGAATAGATGTCTTAAATAAATTCAGTCGGAAGATTATATCCAGGAAATGGAGACGGCTATACGAACAATCGGCAGATGGATCCCCGGCGAGATCCATTGGCGGAGCACAATCGGAAACCCCCGACGGCTTTTGGTTGAATCCGGGGGTTTTGACGGCTTTTACCCCTTATTATTTACAATTTTGTAGAGAATTTTGTATAGTTATTTATGACTTTCATATAGATCCTAATGATCCATATTGGAAGTTTTACCATTTGTTATTTTTAGTACAATACCCAGGGCTTTAATGGTCATGGGACACTTCTCACCTCTATGTAGACTTAAGAAATGTCTCTTTTCAAAGATTTTTGTGCTTTGTGCTTGATTTGAGCCGTTACTCAAGACTAAATGGATATATATGTAGAGATGTAGGACTTGTTAGTTTAGTTTGTAGTGTGCATATCCTTCAGTGAGGGAGTATAACATGTAGATGTACATTCTATACTTGCATGTTATATATTCTGTCTCGTCCCACATTTCAGCCAAATGTATAGATAGGCCAGCGAGCAGTAACCGGACCGGAGCGAATATACGTGCACGGATTGGTGATTCCAATATCAGACATATAACGGGCCGTACAAAAGACCATCACCACAGTTGCGCTCTCTGCCGTTCAAATTTCTAGCGAGAGCAATAGGTCCATGGGAAGCTCGAACATGACCGTGTGGGAACACGGCAAGCTAAGATATGAGGAATATACCGGCGAGTTGTTGCCGGAGTTGTCGTCAAGGCTGTCGTCGGGCACGACGATATCATCAGCTCATCTATCAACCGGTGAACAACTCAGCTAATCCGACGACTCAGCGCCGATGTCATGGATGGACCAAACCTTGGGGAGTATCTCCTACCTATTTTATCTGTTCTCCACCATTTAATCCTATCTCATCTTTGATCAATTTGATTCTAGCTGCTTCAGCATTTTTCATCACATCCGTGTATCTCCGGCTATAGGCCGAAGTATTAATCGTTTTCTAGTATGCAAGCCTTTCGGAAGTATACCGGCGTGACACCGTCTGTTTACTCCCAAGCATAGCAACGTATTTCGCCAGCTCCAGTCACCTGCGGAGGTATCAAGCATTCCTTTTCTCCTGCGTGTAGTCCTTCTGGCAAACACCCACAAGACCTTACCTTTCACATTTTCTTTCTCATTCGCAACAATTCCTTTTCTGTCGGGGTCGAGACACCCTGACGCGACACCACTCATGCCTTTGCGCCATTCTAACATGGAGGCGCTGGAGTCTTCTGGTTTCCGGGCCGAGTCACAAAGGCCCCGAGACATCACCGAGGAATACGACGAGTTCAGTGGTAGCCCCACCCTAGTCCTGTCGCTCATCGCCACCGGGAGCGACGAACCTGATGCAGTTAATGTAGGCCCCGATGAGGGCACAAGCTTTGTGGGCAACATTCGACGGTACTTCCAATTGTGTCACCACAGAAATCATGAATTGGCCAGTCGCCATGGTGGCCTGGGCCTTGTTCGTCAGAATGTCGGAGCTGCCAGTCGTCACGCTGGACTTGGGTTCCGTCAGCGGATTTGTGAATTCGTCAGTCGCCAAGTCCGTCGGTACCGTCGGTGACGGATGCTCAGACGACATGACAATGCCTTCGTCAGCCGCCAAGCCAGGTACAACGAACACAGTATCGAAGACCATGATTTAACGCTCAGAAGAATTGACAACTCGCTGGCCAGCCGCCGGGGTAGGAACAGTTAGCACAATTCCAAATACCCCAATTCTCAGCATGCACATAGATCCGCCACCGACAATTCTAATAATGAGGTGGGGGGTAGCAACCACTCATCGAGGGAACATTCCGAAGAACGATGAGACAGAAGACTTCTACGAGCCTCAAGCATTGTCAAGGATCCGTGGGCTGCTGGCCGTCGTGCCAGACCGGGGAGATGAGGATGGTTCAACATCCCCCGATGGGAATGCGGGCGGCGATGATGATGATACGGGGTGGAGTGGAGGTGCTATCCAGGGTCGGTGAGGTGGGCGGCGAGAGGTGTGCGTCTACATTTCGTTGCTTGCCCCACCAAAACCCCCAGCCCGTAAACGGAGTCTGATGAGGAACTATCAACTCTTGTGCCCCGCATCATCATCACTCCCCCAGACCCATCGGGGTATATACATACTTGCCTTACTACATTCAAAGGGGGATGAAGTTGGGGCGAGGAAGAGGTGGATGTGAGGTGAAGCTGTATCTACGCCTTCATCAATCAGCTTAAGGCTTTAGTCCCATTAAAGTCTGAGGAAGTTGTCCGCGCAAATCTGCCTTCATGCCTGCGAGAAGCAGCGGCTCGATGGTACAGCGCGGAACTGTCAGATGAGGAAAGGCAGGATTTAAGTGTCCGTTCGTTGCAACTTGGTTGGTACACCACCCTTGAATGACGATTCAAGCCACGAGCCACGGAGGCAATCGTTAGGGTGATGGCCCCAACATCTATCTACTCCTGGCGCGATGTGCGCGCCGGACGTAGTGTCACCGAATGGGCGCAGAACATGCTGCGGGATGCCCAGGCAGCAGAAATAACAGGTACTACGACCGTACTCCGCTTGGTGTGGAAAAAAAAAAAGTGAGCGGGAGGTGAGCGGCATGTGTAGGGTACATGTGAGAGGATGAAGGGTCCACGGGAACTCGGATTCCACATGTGAGAGGCGGAGATTCTCCTGCAAAATGAAGAATTTCCAAGGATGATTCCAAGTAAAAAATAAAAATCATTCATATGGAAATTTATAAATATAAATGTAAAATGATATTAAATTAGGTATTCTGAAAACTCATATGTAGGTAGCAAACCAGGTACATCAATCAGATTAAAATATCAAAAAGGCACACCATTTCAGGGGAGGATGTTAATTCGTTTACATGATCTGCCTGTGTACAAATTTATGTAGTATACTTTAAACTAGTAAGATAAATATGAGGAACAAATATCTGAATCAAGTCGAAGTAGTTATAGCGGCTATCGACTTAGTTAGGCAGGCGATGACTAAAATACTGGGGGATAACCCTCGGAGATTAGATCGAATTTCCTTAAGTTCCGAGCCTCGGTTCCGCTTGTGCGCTTCTACCCGACCTCAAGTACATTTCATTTCTCTCTTCCTCATGTTCATCACACACCATGTCCGACCCTGAACACCCTCCAGGCGAGGGAACCGATGTCCAGACGGGGAAAGCCCCCGTCGGGAGCTCATGCGCGAAGCGACAACTGCTAGCCGCCTTGACAACGACCGATGTGACAATCCGCCGGCTGGATCTGTAAGGCCCCTTCCGATCCTGACATGCCAGGGCGAGATTCTGGCGCTCGACACGGATCAAGAATATCGCTGACCGCTCCTGCAGATTACTCTCGGAGGCAAACGGACAAGAGCGAGTACTAGCGACTGTCAACTATGCCGCCTCAATGCTGCACCACCTCACTGCGTCAGCGCCCTGGATAGCATTACAAACAAGACTGGGTATCCTTGCACGATTAAAAGGTCGCGTACCCACCAAGAGCGTCACTTCAGCGTCATCAAAATCGAAATTCGCGGCCCTTTCCTCCCTCGCCTCGGAGACAAGATATAACTTGCGCCTATTTGGGCTGCTACCTTTGTGGATCTGGGGAGCTGAAACCCTCAAGTCACCGCCAGCCGACCCCATCATCCACGCTCTGACCGTCCTACAGGTCATCTCGAATGTGATATACCAGCTTCTCGAGAACGTGGGCTACCTTGCATCCAAGGGTGTTGTCTCGAAGCGCTTCGTGGACAAATACGGAGGCCTTGCCAAATGGGATATCTGGAGTACTCGGGGATGGTTCGGGCACATCTTCTTCCAGTTCTTCGTGCTCTGGCGCCAGAGTGTGCTACGCAGACAGCGGTTAGCTGCACGGCGAGCGGCTGCCGGCACCCTCGAGACTAAAGAGACCAAGGCTGAAGATAGCGAAGCGCTGCGTTTGGAGATCAGGGCCTGGCGAAAGAGTATGGTGAATAATGTCATCTGGGCACCATTGTGTCTGCACTGGTGTGTCGAGAAAGGCATTGGTATTCCCGATAGCTTGACCGGACTTATCAGCTTCTGCGCTGGAGCTTGGAGTCTTCATGACTGCTGGGCTGGAACCGCAAATGTTAAAGCATAGATATTGGATTGCTTGTGTTGCTCCCCGGCTTTTCCCCTTCGTTTCTTATTTGTACAAATCCCTTTTTACTTGCACATATACCTTATGTTGACAGCGCGCATGGTTAGTTATTGGCTTTTGGATTTTATAGCTCTACGCCAACTTTTTAGATTATAGAACTGCCTTGACACATTCGTTCCGATGACGAAAGCAAGGTTGGCGCTTCTTTCGATCTAAGTCTTTGCTGAAGATATCATTTCCGTTTGAGTGTATAGCATTTCCATTCTTTCAAGCACTTGCACAGGCTGAATAGGTCTCCATCCGAGGACTTGGCAGATTCGACGTTGTTTTGCATTGCTTCTGTGGTGCTAAGTATGGACTTGATTACTTCGTGGGTTCCTTGTCTTAGTCTAACCACATAGAGTTAGAATTTCTTTAATTTTGAGGGAAGTGCACCGTGGCCTTTCTATATGATTACCCTTTAGAATTGCTGTAGTTGTAATTGAATCATGGCAACGTTATTGTTGTAAGGACCTTGGTAACCATATTTACTGTAGCATCTAACTAGTTATCAGCGTTGCCCCAGGCATCAAGGCTTCTAATCGACTGAGTTCCATGCGCTTCGTTGTGGCGGACAACGCGATGACATAAGCGCCGGGCTTAAGTCATCATCATTAGTTCTAAGAGTAGAGGTAGGAAGCTCAACACCATCATTCCTGTTACCTACCTTTATCTCCACTTTGCCGTCGTCGGATTCGCTCTCTGATTCTGATCTATCGGTTCATTTCTCATTTCCAGTACTCATTTCTCGTTCCATTTTAAATCCGTATCTCGCTCCGCCTGTTTCTGGGCATTGGACACCTTCGTTCACTCAAGCTTGCTTCCATCAACGTCACGACCTTATTTACGGCCATCATGTCTTCCGAGCCGGATCACACGCATGACAAGAAGAGGGTCCACCTGCAGTACGTTTTCATTTGAACGCTTTTGATTATTGAGTATGCTAACCGGACTCCAGGGACGCCTCGGGCGCTGAGAAGAAGGAGGTAAGCATAGACTACAGGACAGCTCACAAAAGCCTCGGAACTGACGAAAAATGCAGGAGCTTGATACCTCCACCGCTATCTTGAAGAAGAAGAAGAAGCCCAACTCTTTGATGTGAGTAGCTGATAAGAGATATCTGTTGAGAGCAAGGAGCTAACAGTTTTCGTGCAGTGTGACCGATGCCGTTAACGATGATAACTCGGTGATTGCTCTCTCGAACAACACCATGGAGACTCTCCAGCTCTTCCGTGGTGACACAGTTCTCGTGAAGGGCAAGAAGCGCAAGGATACCGTGCTGATCGTCCTCGCCGATGACGATCTTGATGATGGAAGCGCCCGCATCAACCGTGTTGTGCGTCACAACCTTCGTGTCAAGCACGGCGACATGATCACTGTGCATCCTTGCCCCGACATCAAATATGTAAGTTGGGCATTTCCACGTCATTTTATCATGATCCACTGGCTAATTCTATCTCCGTGATCTAGGCCAAGCGCATTGCTGTCCTTCCCATCGCCGATACCATCGAGGGCCTGACCGGCTCTCTCTTCGATGTCTATCTCGCTCCCTACTTCCGTGAGGCCTACCGACCAGTCCGACAGGGTGACCTGTTCACAGTACGAGGTGGTATGAGACAAATCGAATTTAAGGTTGTGGAGGTCGACCCTCCCGAATACGGCATTGTTGCCCAGGACACAATTATTCACTGCGAGGGTGAGCCCATTCAACGAGAGGATGAGGAGGGTAACCTCAACGAGGTTGGCTACGACGATATTGGTGGATGCCGCAAGCAGATGGCTCAGATCCGTGAATTGGTCGAGTTGCCTCTCCGTCATCCTCAGCTCTTCAAGTCCATTGGTATTAAGCCGCCTCGTGGTATCCTCATGTACGGTCCTCCCGGTACCGGTAAGACTCTGATGGCTCGTGCTGTTGCCAACGAGACCGGTGCTTTCTTCTTCCTGATCAACGGTCCCGAGATCATGTCAAAGATGGCTGGTGAATCCGAGTCCAACCTGCGCAAGGCCTTCGAGGAGGCCGAGAAGAACTCCCCCGCTATTATTTTCATTGATGAGATCGACTCCATTGCCCCCAAGCGTGAGAAGACCAACGGTGAGGTCGAGCGCCGTGTCGTTTCCCAGCTGCTCACCCTCATGGACGGTATGAAGGCCCGTTCCAACGTTGTGGTCATGGCCGCTACCAACCGTCCTAACTCCATTGATCCTGCTCTTCGTCGTTTCGGCCGTTTCGATCGTGAGGTCGACATTGGTATTCCCGACCCAACTGGTCGTCTTGAGATCATGCAGATCCACACCAAGAACATGAAGCTTGGCGAGGATGTAGATCTGGAGACCATTGCTGCCGAGACCCACGGTTACGTCGGTTCTGATCTTGCTTCCCTCTGCTCTGAGGCTGCTATGCAGCAGATCCGTGAGAAGATGGATCTCATCGATCTTGATGAAGACACCATTGATGCCGAGGTTCTTGAGGCCCTCGGTGTCACCATGGAGAACTTCCGTTTTGCCCTCGGTGTCTCCAACCCCTCCGCTCTCCGCGAGGTTGCTGTGGTCGAAGTTCCCAACGTTCGCTGGGACGACATTGGTGGTCTCGAGGAGGTCAAGCGCGAGCTTGTCGAAAGTGTCCAATACCCCGTGGACCACCCCGAGATGTTCCAGAAGTTCGGTCTCTCACCTTCTCGCGGTGTGCTGTTCTATGGTCCTCCTGGTACTGGTAAGACCATGTTGGCCAAGGCTGTTGCCAACGAGTGTGCTGCCAACTTTATCTCCGTCAAGGGCCCTGAGCTTCTGAGCATGTGGTTCGGTGAGTCCGAGAGCAACATCCGTGACATCTTCGATAAGGCTCGTGCTGCTGCTCCTTGTGTCGTCTTCCTTGACGAACTGGACTCCATCGCTAAGTCTCGTGGTGGTTCCGTCGGTGATGCTGGCGGTGCCTCCGACCGTGTTGTCAACCAACTTCTTACTGGTAAGTTTCCGCTGTTCCAAGTTTTCTTTTTGCTCTGAATAGTCACTAATTCCCTAACAGAGATGGATGGTATGACTTCTAAGAAGAACGTCTTCGTCATTGGTGCTACCAACCGTCCCGAACAGCTCGATGCCGCTCTGGTCCGTCCTGGTCGTCTTGACACCCTCGTCTACGTTCCCCTGCCTGACCAGGAGTCCCGTGAGGGTATCCTCAAGGCCCAGCTTCGCAAGACTCCTGTCGCTGGTGACGTCGACATTGCTTTCATTGCCAGCAAGACCCACGGCTTCTCAGGTGCCGATCTCGGCTTCGTGACCCAGCGTGCCGTCAAGCTCGCCATCAAGCAGGCCATTTCTGCCGACATCGACCGCCAAAAGGAGCGCGAGGCTGCCGGTGAGGACGTCACGATGGCCGAGGAGGATGAGGATGTGGAAGATCCCGTGCCCGAGCTCACTCGTGCTCACTTCGAGGAGGCCATGAAGTCCGCTCGTCGCTCCGTCAGCGACGTCGAGATCCGCCGCTACGAGGCCTTCGCCCAGAGCTTGAAGAACACCGGAGGTGGCAGCTTCTTCCGCTTCCCATCTGCTGGTGAAGTCCAGGAGAACGATACCTTCGGCGAAGCCGGCAATGACGACAGCCTCTACGATTAAACGCTTCTTTTTGCTTTGAGGTGATATGACTTGTTTTTCCTTAGTTCAGCCATGCCCGGGTTTCTGCGCCCGAATTCGCTTATGAATAGATCGTTTCGCGTGGGTGGAAATGCGGGCCTGATTGCTGGGCTTTCATGGGGGTTTCCTTTTTTCGATTCGTTTCTTCCTGTTTTTGCCCACATACAATGTGCCATAATAGCCAATACAGGTGGAGAAATCTCTTACGTTCATCGGTTTTATTGTAGAGTTTTATCGTGTTGTGAGTTTGCTTTTGATGTACAATGAATGGCACGCCCTTTTCTTGACTACCCAATATTGCAAATCAAGCTTATCATCTAGATGTATCTGGGGGCCTATCTCTCGTATTCTCTCGGTTGATGGCAAAAACGACAGCCGGTTGCACCCAGGAGTTAAGAACTATGTATGTAGTGCTACATATATTGTACTCACATGGTTCTTCATGCTTACCTAGGTAGAAAATAATGCTTACAAAAATAACAATATAGAGGTCAGACTCGGACAATCGGAGAGGAAGATATAACTTTGACTCGGCACTTCGCTCTCGGCCCTAAGCCGGGATCTCCACTTTTTATCGGTGCTTGGCTGAAGCCGAGAGTGAACGTGAGACTGGAAACGCATATTTTGTGTTTTGGCGTGATTTGACTGGTCCATGAGCTAATTTTTCATGGAGTCCCATGGCTTCTTTCTTCTAGGGTTTTTCCTTTTTCAATTCTTGTTTGTAATCCGTTCCCTTTGCCACATGGACGTGCACATGGCGACATGGATTCTAGTTGGTCAGGCGCATATATGCCATGAAAAGAAGGCTGTTATTGGGCTGACTCAGAGCATGACGCATCCATTTCGTTTAGCCCCCAGGGGAGGTGTCTTGGGAGCTATGGAGTACGGAGTACGGATATAGTGGAGTGCGAACGTCCGATACTATGCTCCGTACATCTAGCGAATAAGCTGGTCTCCACGGCCCTTTTTTTTTTTTTTACAAAGCATTGACGGTTTATCTCCGAGTCCGTTCCCATCTAGAGCCTTTGCGATATTAGTTATATTATGGCCCCAGGGATTATATGGCCCCTACCTCGAGACGTTCTTTCCCATTGTTTTCTCTCATATCACACTTGAACAGTCTTGCACATTCACCTACCTATACATATAGGTATTTGGAGCAATCATGAATCCCCCACCATTTGACTCAAATACAACTACACCTCGCCTTAGCATGGAACAACATGGTTCCATCGAGGGGGGTATCACCAATGTTCACGAGAAGAGTGAAACAGATGTCGATCTCGAGAACGCAGTCGAAACACCACAAAAGCCCGAAGCACCCAGCGCAGATCCCAACCTTGTCGATTGGGATGGCAAAGATGACCCGGAGCACCCCCAGAACTATACTAATCTGCGCAAATGGGTCATCACACTGACCATGTCCACCATGACCGTATGGATCACCTTTGCATCCAGCGTCTTTTCGACTGCAACCCTGGTGACGGCGAAAGAGTTCAATGTGTCGACCGAAGTAATGATTCTCGGTACCAGTTTGGTTGTTTTTGGTTTCGCTCTAGGTCCGCTGTGCTGGGCACCGCTGAGTGAGCTATACGGTCGTCGCATCCCCCTGTTCTCAGGCTACGCCATCTTCGCTATCTTCCAGATCCCCGTGGCTGTCGCTACGAACCTTGAAACCATTCTGGTCTGCCGATTTCTCATGGGTGTCTTTGGCTGCTCGCCTTTGGCCGTCGTTGGCGGTGCCCTGGCTGATATTTGGAACCCCGTGGACCGCGCTGTGGCTATCGCTCTCTTCAGCTCTGCCACTTTCATGGGGCCTGTTCTTGGTCCAATTGTGTGAGTACTCAAATTGTTACTTCGGAGGATCCAGAAACTAATATTCTATAGCGGTGGTTTCATCACAGATTCATACCTTGGCTGGCGCTGGACCGCATGGATCACCTTAATTGCTTCCGGCTTCTTCGGTTTGGTTGCTTTCTTTGTAGTCCCCGAGACCTACGGCCCTGTCCTCTTGCAAAAGAGAGCTGCCCGTCTGCGCACTGAAACCAACAACTCGGACCTCCATGCCTTCTTGGATCTGCACAAGCCCACAATGTCAGATATCATTACCAAGTACCTTTTCCGACCCTTCCAGATGCTCGTTCAAGAGCCGATCCTACTCGCTATGACCGTCTATCTCGCCCTGGTTTACGGAATCCTCTACCTCTTCTTCGAGGCCTACCCATATTCTTTTGGTGAAATTCGCGGTTGGACCCACGAAGGTGTAGCTGCCCTTCCATTCATCGGAATTATTATTGGCGTTTTCCTCGGTGCCTCTCTCATCATATACACTACGAAGACCCGTTTCGCCCGCAAACTTGCAAAGCACGGTAAGGTCGTTCCCGAAGAGCGCCTCGTACCAATGATGATCGCCTCGGTGTTGCTGCCAATCGGTCTGTTCTGGTTCGGCTGGACTTCCAGCCCACATATCTCCTGGGTGCCGCAGGTCATTGCCGGCGTGCCTATCGGTCTAGGTATCCTAGTTATTTTCATGCAGGGTCTCAACTACATCATTGATGTGTATATGATGTTCGCCAACTCTGCCATCGCGGCAAATACTCTCATCCGCTCAACCATGGGTGGCGCCTTCCCGCTCTTCGCTACGCAAATGTACCGGGATCTAGGTGTGGCTTGGGCATCTAGTGTTCTGGGTTTCATTACTTTGGCTATGATCCCCATTCCTATTTTGTTCTTTATCTATGGCTCTAGGATCCGGGCTATGAGTAAGTTCAGTCCTAAGTTCTAGGTGATTGATCTACTTGTCTCTCATTTTCAGGCGCAAAAACCATTAATAGATAATTTTGGGGTTTTCCTTTTTATATGCATTGCTATGACGGAAGATTTGGGAAGTCAGGCCACTTTTGTTACAGAAGACCTACTCGGTTGTTTTTTCATGAGAGCTTGCATATTTTAATCAATATCATTAATATCTCTACTCTGAAATTGGGCCTCCATATACCTAACGTAGCAATTTATCCGGACAGAGTGGATATTCAAGCTCCTATCACCCGAAGGCTGCTTTATTATGAGCCGAAAAGGACGTAGACATGATACCTACTGACAATGGGATCTTGGGTACTGTTTTTGGTATCTCTGATATATTCTTCCACTAGCAGTGTTTTCTCTAGACTGTTAATGGTGATGTATAGAAACCGTTTAAAGTCTTGTTGCTGTGTAGTGTACTTTTGTTCCTTAACGAAGCTCTGGAGTACCGTATGACATCTGTAGCACCAACTTTGTAGGGCAGGACGCGGTCCCGTGCGACGCGTCCTGGGCGGTCAGCCTCCACCCAAACTCCCGAGTCGAAACTCTCCACCTCCCCAGTCCATGTGAGAACTGCGACCATCCACGATGCCTTCGCGCTCTCGCCCAGGTCCTTCCGAGGTGGAGGAAGACTGGGGCTTCGCAGTCTGTCCTTCAACCAGCCGCTCTCATGGCGCGTGGGGCGCTCCGCCATCCCCATCGCGGATCTCCTCGAACGTCTCCAGACTCTCGCGCAGGAACTCCGCAAACTCGACCAGGAGGAAATTGATAAGGAATCGCTACGGAAAGTGTCCCAGGAACTCGCCAGTGGGAACTTGCTTGCCCACAAGGATAAGGGTGTCAGGGCGTGGGCTACGTGCTGTATCGTTGATGTATTGCGACTATGCGCACCAGACGCGCCTTTTACGCGCAATCAACTGAAGGTGCGGCAATTGAAGAGACACAAAATATGTCTTTTGTCTATGCGATCATAGAATGTACTGACTGAGACCAATTTAGGATATATTCACATGTATCGTGTCCTCGATTATCCCCGCTTTGGCCGATCCATCCAACGCCTACAATGCCCAGCATATCTACGTCCTGGGATCTCTCGCTGAGGTGAAGAGTGTGGTTTTGATGGTCGATCTTGATCACCCGGACTCGCTTATTGTCCCGTTGTTCGCGGGCTGCTTCGACATCGTTTCGGGTTCTTCGAAAGCATCCACCGGTGAGGAGGTGGCCAAGAATGTCGAGTTTGACATGACCCGAGTACTCGTCACTGTGATCGATGAATCCCTCGTGTTGGCCCCTGAGGTGGTGGACATTATCGTCGCCCAATTCCTCCGAGTCGACCCGCGAGTGTTGGACAACTCTAACAAGAAGGGAAAGCGACCGGATGCACCACTTGATGCCAAGCAGGACACCCTTCTACTAAAGGACTACCCGGCTGCCTATAACATGGCCAAGGCTATCTGCCAGGCCTGCCCGGAACGAATGACTAGTCACATCAGCCAGTACTTCAACAATGTCATCATCGATGCGTCTGTGCCAGCTGGCCAAACGAATGGCTCTAAGCATGCTCGGAAACCCAATCTTGATGACTCTGATGAGGAGGGAGAAGATATTAAGGAATTGAGCAAGGCACACCGTCTGATCCGGGAGCTTTGGCGTGCTTGTCCAGAGGTCCTGCAGAATGTCATTCCGCAGATTGAAGCAGAACTCTCTGCAGAATCGGTGGCCCTACGTTTATTGGCAACTCAGACGATCGGAGACCTCGCGGCTGGAATCGGTGTTGCAGGTCCCCCACCCCCTCCCCCCATGGACCCTACAACCTACCCGCCAGTGTCACTAGTGGATTATGACAAGATCATTCCCCAGCCCAATGTTTTGTTGACTCCTGTATCCCCCAAGCCTTTCTCTCAAGTCCACAATTCAGCCTATGAAGCCTTCTTGAGCCGTCGTCTTGACAAAACACCATCAGTCCGTGCTGCCTGGGTCACAGTTGTGGGGCGAATCCTGCTAACCTCAGCTGGAGGCTCTGGCTTACACGAAAGCGAAGAACACAGTCTTGTCAGAAACCTCGCCTCCATGCTTCGCGACGTTGATGAGAAGGTTCGTGTGGCTGCAGTTGATACCGTCGGGCAATTCGGGCTTTCTCAAATCGTCCACAAGCTAAGTGTGGATGGTGGTTGTTCGTCACCAGACTCGGTTCTTGCTATTCTTGCCGAGCGAGTGAAGGATCGCAAGCCGCATGTGCGTGAACACGCCATGAAGATTTTGGCTCGAATGTGGGCAGTGGCTGCTGGTGACATCGAGCAAAATACAGAGCCCGTCGTGTCCCTTCTCAAAGATGCACCATCCAAGATATTTGATGCATTTTACACCAATGATCAAGAAATCCATATTCTGATTGACCGCGTCTTGTTTGAGACACTTCTGCCACTTCCTTATCCCCCTATCAAACCGAAACTTTCTCGAGGCAGCTCGAACCAATCACAGAAGCAGAAGGATAGTCAGGCGTCCGAACCCGAGCAAGAGACAGATGTTGACAAGATTCGCGTTCGCCGAATTCTTACCCTGCTCCGAGGGCTGGATGAAAAGGCGAGGCGAGTCTTTTTCGTTATGTTGGCCCGTCAATTGTCGATGAGATCGGCAGTGACGCTTTATCTAGAGGCCTGTGAGAAATACAATGGTGGTGTTGTCGACAAGGACGAGGAACAGATTAAGACACAATTGTCGAAGATCATTGAATCATTATCCAAGACCTTCCCAGATGCCTCACGCGCATCGGCAGACTTGTGGAAGTTCGCCAAGGTGCATGATCGACGAAGCTATCAGCTGATTCGCTTCACCATGGCTGCTGTGAGTGATTATCGCACTGTTGTCAAGGCCACGAAAGAACTTCAGCGGCGAGCCCAGAGTGCAAACAACTCTCCCCTGCTGGAAACGTTGACTCCTCTTGTATATCGCTGTGGGTCTTTGATCTTCAACCGAAGCCACATCCCGGCGATCATGAGTTTGTCCCGAACAGATGAGAACGGATTGGCCAATGCTGCACAGGAGATGTTGAAGCAAATTTCATCTCAAAATCCGGAAGTCCTAGAGGCACAGGTCCAAGAGATGTGCAAAGACCTCGAGGCTCAAGCCCCCAAGGCTTCCTCCGCTGGTGATGGTAGTGCTGAAGACATTTTGAAGGCTTGTGCTGGTTTTGCTAAAAAGCTTCCTGCTAAACTCCCCAAAGAGCGCAAGTTCCTCCAGGCTCTGGCCAACTACGCCCTTTATAGTTCATCACCGCATTCTGCAAAACATGCCGTGTCAATTCTCATGGCGACGGCTGACCGAAAGGAGATGTATGCGAAGGATTTGGTACATAAGTGCGTTGAGAAGTGGACGTACGGATCTGATCGATTCCTCACTCGCCTGGCTGCTCTGTCGCAGCTGAACATCCTTGCACCGAGAGAAGCAGACGAAGAAAGCGATGCTATTATTTCAATTGCCATCAACCAAATCCTGCTCACCAATCGCACACCTGAACCCGACTCTGAATACAACTGGTCAGAGACAGTTGATGATGAGACCAAGGCTAAAGAATGGGCATTGAAAATCATTGTCAACCGCCTTCGGGCCAAGGACGGAGCAGACAATGAAGCTGACTTCCGTGCCCATGCAAAGCCTGTCTACGAAACATTGAATAAATTGGTGGTCGGTGAAGGCGAGATCTCAAAGAAGAAAGATACCCCTGCAGCCCAAAAATCGCGCCTTCGCCTCCTGGCTGCGAAGTCCTTGCTCAAGCTGTGTGCTTCCAGCACTGTCTGCGACGGTCTGCTGACGCCGTCCGATTTCAACGCCGTCGCATTGGTTGCTCAGGATCCACTCTTGCAGGTGCGAAGTGGATTCATTAACCACTTAAAGAAGAAACTCGTCCAAAAATCACATCTGAGCCACCGATGGTATATTGTCCCCTGTTTGCTTGCTTTCGAACCTGTTCATAGTCTAAAAGAGAGCACGCTCACATGGCTGCGGTCCCGAGCGGCATACTTCGCCCAACAGGCGCAAGCCAGTGGGAAACGGACAGAACAGACCATGGTCATGGAATTGATCTTCTCGCGTCTCTTGTCTTTGCTTGCCTACCACCCCGATTACCCCTCTGAGGATCTGGATGAGGCAACGAAACTCGGCGACCTTACCGACTTCTCTCAATATATCCTTTTCTACCTCTCCGCAGTTGCTAATGAACACAACATGTCATTGATTTTCCACGTCGGGCAGCGCGTCAAGCAATTCCGCGATGGAATCACCAAATCAGATGAGATCTCCACCCGCCTCCACACTCTCTCTGATCTGGCGCAAGCAACTATTCGCCGTTTCGCAGATGTCTACTCCCAACAGCACAAGTTTGGCGGTGCCGCCGGCGCAACCAACATCTTGCAAACGTACCCTGGAAAAATGGGAGTCCCTAGCTCCCTCTTCACCTCCATGAGCAGTCACCGCGAAGCCCAAGACGTCGCCGACAAGAACTTCCTTCCAGATGAGTTGGATGATTTGCTTGATCGCGTCGTTCGAATTGCAATGAAGCCCAGGAGTAACTCTACCCACGCTTCACAGGGCGGTTCAAGCAAGAAGCGAAAACCCGAGTCTCTTGATGCGAACGGCAAACCCTCTGTGTCCAAAAAGGCACGCAAGGAAAATTCTTCTCGTCCCGCCCGCAAGTCCACATCATCGATCAGTGCAGCCAAGCCGAAACGGAAATCAAAGAACGACGATGGCTGGTCTTCCGACGGAGGTGCTGAAGGCACCACACCTGCTTCCTCTCGCCGACGCAGCGTCCGAGGCACCGCGAAGCCGGAAGTTAGCTATATCGACAATGACAGCGATGATGCCGATATGGAGATGGCAGAGTGGGATAATCCCGACGAAAAAGACGACGGCGAAGGTGAAGCGGAGCAGGAAAGTGAGAACGAAGAATCTCAAGAAATGGACGACGACCAAGATGTCTCTGAGGACGTTGAGCCTGAGGCCAGTGAGAAGGAACCCACGCCGCCTCCTGCAAGGAAGCGAGGCGGAAAGGCCACTGCTGCGAAGGGCGATGCCAAGAAGCCTGAAGCAAAGAAGCCTAAAGCAACCAGCTTGCCTTCGCGACGCTCTTCCCGTCGTGGATAGGAACATCCGATGGGCTACATCGCACATAACATAGTTCCGTCCAGCTGTGTGTTCACGTACGGGCCATGTCTCTCATTTCGTCCCAGACACGCTCTCAATGGTCATTTATTTATGAGCTCCTCGGCCAAGATCTTCGGGGCATAGACGCCTGGTACTGATCTTATTGCTGTTCTCAGATCTAAATAAGTTGTGGGATTACTGCGCGGATCGTTCACATTCCCGTCAATATTCATATTCATATCCATATCCATATCCTGATTCCCATGTTATTTTCATTGTGGTTTCACCATTTCGTTCTCATTTGCTCTGTTTCTTTGCAGTCAGTGATGGTTCGATATGTATACCCCATCTGCCTTTTTTTTTCTTCTTGAAGTTTGCATCGGGCTTGTGCTCGAGTTTTCACGAATGTCTGTCTCTTTGCGTATTCCCGTCAGATATATGCTTTCTATCTGTAAATGAATTGAACTTTGTTTCGAAAGTACTTCTTTAAATCACTTTCTTAGAAATCCTCCGGGGCTTTGTGTGGTGCTTACCTGATATAGATCTGCCCTAACTAGTTATATAACTAGACGATGTGACCGAGGCAAGGTTTACTAATTGAGCTTTATAACATGCACAAGCAACTATGATTGTGTAAGACCTTGGAACTACAAGTTTAGCACTTCGGTAGCCCCCAAAAACTGTAAGACATATAGTGTACCGATAGTTGATTCCGTGTATGGTTCTCCATGGCGTATATTTAGTCTGATATTCTAAATAAGAATTACTGGTATTATTGAGAGTTACAGATGTAGCAATACTAGCAGAACATGATATTTGAAACGTAATAGAACCTTGGAAAGATACATTGTTCTATTCGAGATAATTCATGTAAACAAAAAATCAAATCAATCAAAGAAACCGCCTTGCCTCGAACGGACCAACATATCTATATCTTTCCTACGGCAGTGCGGTAAAAATTTTCGAATCCAGAGGGATTGGCAGGTCACTCCCATCAGGTGTAGTAGGAATCTCATGCTCATGAATCCAATTTTCCACGCTCCTGAGATCGCGACACTTGTGCCAGGTATTGAAGTTGGCAAATGGGTCTGGAGTTTGGGAAACCCACTCATGAGGAATAATTCCAACGTCAGCATTGCACATGATATTCTGGCGCAAAATTTCAACGCAATGCTCTGTTGATTTAAGTTAGCTGCGTAACTCTCCATGGGATCTGTGAGGTAACTCACGTAGATGCATTTTGACGGTAAATGGCCTATCGGTGAAAACTGGGGCTTGCTGTTCGGGGAAATCGGGGTTGTTATAGTAATCCTGGTGCATAGCTTGACGCATCATGTTTAGGCACTGTTGACCGATACACTTAGTATTCTGCATTATTCATGACGAGACTGAAGAGGTTGCTCACATGTAATTGGTGGCTGACTTCCAAGAAACCAATATATCCTCCTCCGTACTCAGGAGTAAGCCGCGCAGCTTCCGGGTCTGCACCGGGAAGCTTTAGGAATTCTTCCGGCGGAATACTTGCATATTTGACTGGCATAATGAAGGTTGGCTATCAGATATATGCTGGGCTGAATAGGATCTTTAGCAATCTCGTACCGTACGCCCACTTGTCCCACACAGCATCCAATTCGGGACTTGGATCACCCGTAAACTCAGAGGGATGCCCTAGGGTTCCGTTGAACTGAACAAGATGTAACTCAGGTTTTATTTCATTCAGAACCGGTGCTGTTGACAGTATAAATCAGCACCTACAACAGTGTATAGCTATCAAATACTCACAGTAAGCTGAATTGTGGTGAAGACAAAGATCCTCCACATCTGGCTGCAGCTTCAAGCCCAGGAGTACCGCTAGTATATGAGTTCCGATGAGGCCACACAGTGCAAGAGTTAAAGCAACCTTGGTACTTTTGCCTCCCCGAAGCCAGCGTTCTCGGAGTGTTACCGCACGACTTTCATTCAGCAGTCCATCGGTAGAGCCAGAGTACTCGTCTAACGAATCCTTGTTTTGTGTGTCTTCTACCTCTACCCTAGAGTATGAGGGACCGTCTATCTCAAACATGATTGAGGTAATTGGATGTATGGTGTACCTAAGGTAGAGTGCAGAAAGGTTGAAAGTCTGGTCAGAGCTTTATGTCACGTATTAAATATAAATTCAAGCCAGAGTAGTCAGCTAAGAACCGGAAGGCGCAGGTGATTGTTACCTGAATAACCTCCGTAATTTTCGCCGCAGAACAATATCATGCACGATGATACCCTGGACGTGATATCCCATACGAATGTTCCAGAGGGTAGGGGGAAGGGAGGCGGATTGAGCTGAGGGGTATGGTGTCTTTTCCTGCCCGGTGATCAGACATTGAATTACTTCAATTTAGATTTGTCGTACAATCTTGCAGACCCCATATTTTCGTTACCTACCTCCGCATTGGTTCTATTCGGTGAATTGTTTCATTCATGGATGTGTATTCTACCTGGTTCCGTTCAATGCATGCCCTAATGCACTACCTAGCCATGCTTACCTTGCATGATACTACCTTCCTATGTACAGAAAGACCAACATTCGCTATTTCGAATGCTATTATGGATGTTGTCCAATGGCAAAAATGCCTCAATAGTACGGGATAGGACTACACCGGGCTATTTCCTAGGTAGACAGTAGACAATCATGATACGATTCGGGTACTATGACAGCATCCAGGACAGTTTAATCGAACATATATAATAGTCTCTGTCAATTCCAGAATAATATAGAACTACTATCCAGCCATCCAGGATAACTGCGATACTCGTTTTCTCACTCCAACATCCCGATCCATACCAACATCTTGTCTCAAAACACTTCCCTCTTGACGATAAACTACCTGGTTATCATGCGTTTCTTCGCCTTTGCTATGCTTGTAGCCTTTGCTACTGCTGCACCAGTTCTCAGCGAAAGCTCCCACGACGCAAGTCTAACGAGTGGTGACTATGAGAAACGCACCAATATCTATCCATGTATCAAACTGGAGGGCGAAGAGGGCGAGAACCTCGAAAAACGCACCATCTACAGCTGCGCATGATATTGACAATTACGAACATCCGACACTTACTACTTGACCTTGTTCATGTTCGAGGAACTAGGACGAGTGGAGGATGTCATTCTCAGAGGGAAGGCTTTCGATGGTGGTTCTATATCTGCAAACTTAGTTTGGCTGTCGTTCCGGGGCGAGGTTGATTGGCTGAAAGGCGGAAAGATCCAGGATGGGGTTTTTAGAAGAGCGGAGGGGAACTCCAAACAGCTTTGCTTGTGTTATTTTGACAATATCGATGAGCCTGGCCTGCATGACCCTGTCCAATTCCTAGTCGTGTTGATAGCCCTACATCAAGACATCAGCAAGACCATGAAGTATCACGTGGACGATTCACTATTGGCTAAATTATACTTGCAAATTGATTATTCCAACCCTGTTTACTCCTCTAAACACTATGAAAATCTTTAATCGGAGCCGTAACAGTATTCAATGTCACCGTGGCTTACAAAATCAACATACAATTTCCCCTACCGTCAATTGAGCAGCATTTACATCACACAAAGCCGCTTCGCTGAGATGTAGGTAGTCGATCACTGCCGATAGATCAACATTTTGTGCAATATGTCAGCAAGATGATGTGCTTGATGTGGATGCCAGGAATGCATTTCTTTAATTGAGGTTACATTCTCATTATATCAGGTGAGTAACCTACCCCTCCTTTTGTTGTGATCTTCTCGAACTAACCTCATTATTTGTCTAATAAACTACAGTGAAGACGATGAACTCACCGTATTACCCAAGTAGATCAGATACAAGCCGTCCACGGGTAGCGCTCCATACCGTATCTTAGGGACTAGTAATTTTCTACCTACATATTACAACTGCATACGTAGTTTGCACGTACTTTCCAAAGCAATGCTGTACTGAGTTTTGTCCTTTGGGACTATAAGAACTATTCTTTCATGATTGTTGGTCGGTTCTCAGACATAATCAACTTCCACAGAATAGAAAATCGTCATATATCCTGATGATTTGGAAGTTCTTCACGCCTCGAAGTATGACTGCCTCTCTATTGTCCAAAGTTCATCAAATCAAGCGCCCAAAGCAGGCTAAAACAGAAACAGATTACCGGATTCTGTCTGAGATACCAGACGAAACCAGCGACGCCTCGAGAAAAACAACAACCAGCAGATTGACACTTGCTTTCCTTGCCTTAGGAGCCGTGCTTTTCTCTGTATTTTTCTTTCCTCGCTGGTTCAAACAGCAGGATTGCAATTGTGGGAATTCCATCCAAGAAGCTTTGGCGAATGGTTGTAAATATGACCCGATGGCAACCTCTTGGCTTCCCCCCATATGCCGCGATGACGAACTCATTGACGAATTCAATCATGCTGGCCCCGGTGTTGATGGGGAGTGGACGTACTATACGGATCAGAGCGGCAATAGAACTATGACTGTTGAGGAGGTATCGCAACTCGCTGAGATGGAAGGCGATGAGGCAACTTTCTGGACGACTCACGAATGGCACCTTGTACACTGTCTTTTTTACTGGAAGAAGGAATCGCGAGCGCGAAAGTCTGGAAAGACGATGATTGAGAAGAGTTTTGACGGAGGTGATCATATCGACCATTGTTATGTCGCTTTTCAGAGCGGTTTGCCTCTCCAGATGATCAATACGCGGTCTTCAGCTGGGCTCAATGCGGATAAAATGGATTAATTCAAACCGTTTATAAAACCTGGCCTCAGTATTCTATAGATAGATCGTCAACCTGTACTAAATGTAACCAATCCATGTGGATAGAAAAAGAATATGTATATAAAACGTCTTAAGTAATTCTGATATACTCCCTACATAGCAGGTTCGTATTTACAATACACAGCCTCCCAAGGTTATAGACAGGCAACAATTCTATCAAGTCTAACTGCAGCACAGAAATGCATATGTAACTATAAGGTGCGGTAATATATAGGTATAGTTCCCACTTGTATCGGTTTTCCATATTTCCCCTCTCCTCCTTTCATCCTATCCATTTCCTTCACCTGATCTTCTGTGCCACCTCATTTTCAGCTTAAAAGATCTTTCGTACTGTGATCCGAACATTGGACCGCTACAATACTATAATCACATATTTTGCCGGTTTCTATTTATACTCCTCACAGCCTTGGAACAGGTTACCAAGATGAGCGTTCGGTATAAAGAACAAAGGTACCAACACTACTGCTGAATGTGTTCCATTTACCATCATTGACGGATATTCAGTCTAAGCGACAACGTCGACGATTCAAGCGACAACCTACTCCCGTGGGATGCCTCTGAGATCGAACAACCCCCACCCCAACGCCAGGGGTGGAGAGTATACTTCCATCGCCTCAAAACAGTTCTCTACATCTCACTTGCCCTGTACGGCGTCATGAGTCTTTTCATCCAGACAGTCTCGTTAATTCAATTGCATCAACCCATCAGCTGTGAATGCGGAAGCTCTACCACTGAGGCAATAAGTAAAGGCTGCAAGTACGATACCATGTCCGCTGCATGGCTGCCTGTAGCCTGTCGAGATGACGAGCTCAGTGCCGAGTTTGATCGCATGGGGCCCGGACCAAACGGGCAATGGTACTATTGGGCAGACGAGAATCGGACTCGGGAACTTAGTATTGAGGAGCTGTCCCTGCTGCCAGATCGAGGATTACCATTCTTTACAAACTGGGACTGGCATGTTGCTCATTGTACCTATCGCTGGCGGAAACAATTGAGGCCTGGATTCTTGTTTGGTAAGATGAACATCCAGGCAGCGTATGGTCATGTTGTGCATTGTGAACAGGTTATGAGGGTGCATGATAGAGAGCAGACTATTGTATCTGGGGTGGGTTTGAGTGGTTCTACTTATTCATAGGAGGATGGGTTTTCGATCTGTCTCTTGGACTTTTCATGACTATGTCTTTTCCTATATTTCTTTGTACTGCAATCAAGTACGTATATCTAGCAGAGCCCTTCCCATGCGCAAGCGTTTCCTACATTTCCTACATAGCATACCCTCCAATACAACACAATGACTTAGCTCTACTGGAAATAAGCGATGGTGATAGAGGCCATCGGTCCATGACTACAACTTGCCTGTCTTAATCCTCCCGCATGAACCTTCACTTAAAACTGCTAGTCGGTAGTGATGTTTTTGCAATACAAAAATACTGTTCGGTACGTGTTTCAGCTCGGATATGAATTATCTTACAAGGCAGGTAATGCAGTGTGGGGAGCAAACGGGCCAGCAGACTGATCAGTTTCCTATATAGGGAAAATAACAACAACCCGGACTCCGTATAATCTGACAATGCATGTACATGTGCATATGCAGCTACGTTGGTGGCATTTTGATTAAAAATCAATGAATTTACAGAATTGTCGGTTCATCAAGTCATAGGGAAAAAAGAAAGGGAGGGGTAACTAGAAAGGGCCCTACGCTACGATCTGTGATCAACTGGCACTCCCGTCTCTCCTCCTTTCTATCCAAGACAATACACCCATTGGGCTCTATTCAACACCCATGATGGAGGAGGATGTTTGTTCAAATGAACCTCTTCTTCAGACAGAGAAACGAAGCAAAGAACTGTGGCTATGGAGGCGTTTGATGCCTTTGGTGGCGCTACTAAGCTTTACAATTTCAACCGCCATAGCTCTTGTGTTTTATTTTATTCTTTTCTCGCAGTCTTCGCTGGCTGAGCATGGTTACACCTCGATGCTGCTCCCGGGTTTGAAGACTCCACCTCGTGAGTTCCCCTATTCTGCTCGCTACAAGCCGTATGTTAATGTGTGTCTGAGCAGTTGGTTCGGTTTTGAAATCCTATAATCCTGACCCTTTCTACACTATCTTTCACGGAAATCAAAGCAGGGACATGTGGATGGATTTATTCCCAAGTATGTATACTACTGTTTATACTATTCCACCTGCTAATTTAATCTCCTCACATCAGGAGGAATGGGATATATTCAACTCGAAAAGGTGAAAGAGTTGGGCGCTATCCCTGATTTTATTCAAAGTGTCAACACCGATGAATCGGGCCGGTTCTGCGTAGCTGTTTTCCATCAACTTCACTGCCTTGTGCGTCATTACTATTCTATTCTACGTGAAATAAGACTTGGAACTCACCGTTATTTTTTCCCTAGTATCTCATCTTCGAAGAGTACTCCCAGGCCCTACAGGGCCAAATCCAGAAGCCATCAGGTCACACGGTGCATTGCTTTGACTATCTACGTCAGTCGATTATGTGTGCGGCAGATTCAAACCTGGAGCCTTTCCGGTCACGGTTTGATGGGATGAGACCGGGGGATGGGGTAGATGGGATTGGGAGTATTCACCAGTGTCGCAAATATGAGGATGTGTTTGCGTGGGCTGATCGGTTCCGGTATAATGATGATGGAGATGCGGAGCGTTTCTCAGGTTCGGAAGGGTAAAGATTTTGTTTTCTATTTTTGTAGATCAGAATTTATTTTAGTTACGGTCTATTCGTGCTCTATATACTAAATTGTACTCGCCGAGATCTCCGATAAGAGGTCTTTACTATAACCTATTTGCGTGTTGAAAACATGTTCAAATTTTGCCTACGGAGATAGTCAAGGTACGATCATTCCTGAGATGGCTCTCTCTTCATATACCGAAACACATAGTGACCCCATTTCCCATCGTTATCTGGTGCCGGCGCTGGAGCATACTGGTCCAAGTCCACATCAAGTGTCCCAATAATCTTAAACCCACATTTTGCGTACATCTCCCATGCATCCGCCGATGAATGTACCCATATAAAAACTCCCGCTGCGTCTGCCGTCTTTGTGCCCCATTGCAGAAGCGCCGATCCGACTCCTTTGGACTGCCATTTAGGTGCCACACAAAGTGAGCTGACATACATGCATTTGGTGCCATCGGGCATGAGCTTCGTCATCCAGGATTTCATGTCTGCATCGGTCATCTTTTCGAGCTCCATGATTGGGTCGTTATCATCGATGTCGACTTTCTTGCTTTGGTCTTTGGGCGCGGTCTTACCCGTGGTTTGTGCCAGGGTTGTCGATGTGAATTGTGTTGCTGCATGTGGAACAACGTCCCGTACCTCTGCAGTTTCTTCAACCGCGAACCCCCGAAAGCTCCACAAGACCCAGCCGGCAATGTCGCCTGTTTCGTTGTCTACTGCTTTGAGAAGAACGGTTCTCGGTGACACTGCTTGTTGGGAAAGATATGCTGTCATTGACTTTTCGAGGTCGTACGGGTCCTTTCCTAGTCCTTTCATTTGAGTGTGGCGATCATTTAGAAACGAGTCCCTGCTTATTTTGCCGAGGATGGGGCCCTCTGCTGGGGAGGCTAGTTGAATGGAGAACTTTGCCGTTGTCATTTTGCTGATTGATCGACATGAAATAGACAATTGGATGTGGGCGAAACCAGGGGAGGATGGTTCAAGGAGAAAGGAATGGAGGGGAAGGATTAAAGAGGTGGAACAATGAATTTGACTAGGGTTGCGGGGTCCTGATGTGGTAAGCCGCCCTGAGCCAGTCCTAGCACATTTATTCACTAGTGCAGGGGGCTGCAATTTGCATATATCGTGAGCCTTTCATGCTATTGATAATCAAAATTGAATGAGCTTGGTAGCTAGCAGTTACTTGTAAATTGGTGCTGCATTTGCAGTTGCTGTCAATATTTTCCCCCGATCTCTAGCGGGTGCTATATTCCCATTGTTCGTGAGCTACATGTATCAAAAGCCTGGTGCACAATGGGCTTCTACGCTGCTTGGTTGTTTGGTAGCACTGATGGTTCCTATTCCCTGGTGTTCTACAAGTATAGTCATATGATTCGTAAGAGAAGCCATTTCATTTCCTAGGAAACGGAATGCCCACAGGTACAATAGGTTCTAGTGGCTGATTTCTAATGATTAAAATAGATACTTGGGGGTTGATATCATTCGAGCCAACGCGGGAGCGAAGGCAAGTAGGCCACCGAAGGAACCTGCTAGGCGGCTGCAGAGAAGAATATCTCTAATTGGACACCAAATTTGGACCACTGATACCAGCAAGAGAGGGAGTAACCGACACCTGGGAAGAGACCAGTTTCGGAGAGGCCCAGGAAGAACCGCACCTCTAGTAGTCCGGAGTAGTTATGGACAAAGCCCATGAATGTCATACATAATCCCTAGGGTGTAGGTTAGAAGGTAATGCAGAGGCAGGAGAGGCAATTTGCAGGTAGCGTTAAAGGGTTACACGACTTACTTTGTACCCGAAATAGATTGGCTGGTTTCATGAACCGCGAATCTAAGAATCTAAGAGTTTAGGATGATTGGTGCGGGGAAGTGGGTCACTAGTTATTAGGGTTTAGTGACTGGCAAACTGGGGGAATTATGCGGGGAAATAGACTGAAGCTTAACCGTTTGTCAGATGCTAATATGAATGCTATGAAGTATATTCGAGAATAGAAATACCGATGACAAGACCTAGGCCGGAAACGGGGAGATGGCGGGAGTGAAATCCCTAACTCCGCCATAGACCTGGACCTGAAACTCTATTGGGAACGCGATACGATATGCATTCAGTGCCACCGTGGGGTGGTATCATAAGGTGTACAAGAAGCAGGCGGGATCAAGATTTGTTAAAATCGTCATGAAACATTGTAAAGTAGCTAAATGCCTTGACGCACGCCGTGTTTGTCATACTGTCTCCGCGGGATTTTTACAAAGTTGTTAAGACGTCCTGATCCCAAGCGCGAGCTTTCTCCCCGCAGGACTTGGTTGGTGCTCACACAAGGCCCTGTGGCCTGTAAATGAAGTAGATTATTGGTCCCTATCATATCCGGGCGAGTAAGTTCGTTCGCACGTTCCAACGATAGCAAGTGGATCCCGGAATCGTGTGTCCGCTCCGCTCCGTTCCGCTCCTTGTTTCCGCGATTTCAAACCTTCCAACAGGGCCCGCTTTCAACGCCTATCTAATAGCTGATAAATGATCTATATATCACGTGGTTAAACTGTTCTATCTTTGCCTTTATTTTTAGGTCATAAAAGTGGGTATCTAGTTATATCCATACGCTCACTAAGCGCAGTCTGAATACTTAGTGAGTGTACTCGTTGGAAGGAAAGGGTATGGATTGAAATTGAAAGAGCGAGGAGAAAAGGAGGGATAAGAAATGAGAGATGGATAGATCAGATAAGTCCTGGAGCAAACAGGATTCAGGCAGTTACAGACGGGAAGAAGGCTTAAGGTTCTTTAAGGGATACAAATAGACTGACAGTTTCGGTTTTGATATTACTCCTGCTAGGTCATTCAATAGAAAAAGATAGAGATATTTACTAAAGCTCAAACCGTCTCTCAAACTGCTATTACACATGGTTCAGCGAAGCCAGAAAAAAAAGACAAACACCCCCGAGGAAACATTAAGCGCCAACAGAAAGGATAAAGATAGATCGCTTCCGGCACTAAGAAACCAAAACCTATGCAAGACCAACACGAGTGGGAGTGGAATGGGAGAGAGTTCTTGAGTATGAAGAAGTAGATGGATTGAATTGATCAAATGTGTAAAAGAATATAAGCGATCTGAAAGAGAAAGTGAGAAGTAATCACACAAGACGCCGTTGTCATCACTTCATGAACGAAATTGACTTATGGCTGAGATCCACTAGCAGGAGAGGGAGAGGCATGTGCTCCAGGGACTGTGGCAGTCCCGAGAGCTGGACTGGCACTCGCGCTTCCGCCATCGCCAGCTGTCTTTGTGAGGCGCTCTTCAACCCGCTCCTTGTGCTGTCGGTTACGGAGATGGACTTCAAAGTTGTCCACTGTCATGCCCGGGCCGGGGGTGTACAGCTTTCCGGGGCAGTCGTGGCAGCGAATACGGGGGAGGTACTGGTATTTGATATTTTGGCCAGCCTGGAGGTTGTTGGGATTCGCCACGGGGGCCAGGGTTTCGGTATCGACGGCGGAATAACGCATCACACCTTCAAAGGAATCGTTGGGGTGGGATTGTTTCAACTTGCTGAGACCGGCTGCCAGCCAGTTGGGTGGTGGGGGCTGCATAGACACAGGGTCAGCCATGGGCCAAAAACTGGGGTTAAAATCTACTCACGCCAGAAACACCAGGCTGCGGAGGGTTAGGTGCATCAACAGCACCGGTTTGTTGCGGTCGCGGGGGAGGGTGAAGTCGGGACTGTTTATCGGACGGAGGTGCCATCGTGCGAGATGCTTGCCCTGCACTGGAGTGGGCGGAGACAATGCGCCTTCCGTTCCTCAGATCGACTAGCTTGTCACGCGAAATTTTAAATCTCACTATCAATTTATCAGGGTCGTCCACACTCTCTTCTCGGTATTGTTGTCTTCGGGCCGAGACCCGGGGCTCGTGATACACCGGCTCGGGGGTTGCAGATTGTCCAAGGCTGGCGCGAAGCGCCGCATGAGCTGCAGATGCCGCACCTCTCATGCCTCTGGTTCGAGCAGTGCCCTGCGCGAGGTTGGGCCCAATTGCAGGAGAGCCAACAGAGGAGTCGTCACTATCAAAGTCGTCGGAATCATCATCGCCCCGGTGTCCAGTCATTCCACGACGACGGCCGGAACCGGTACGTTTAATCACATTGCTTTCGTCCATAGAGCCGACCGAGTTTGGTATCACGGATGAAACAATCATGGTGCGAATCGTGCGTTGACGGTCCTTGAGATCTGGCAAAGCAGGTCCACCACGACGGTTAATTGACCGTTTCTGGCGACGTTGCTCTCGGGATATTGAAATTTCGGTACGTTCAAGATCTGCCTCATTCAGCTCATAAAGATAGGGCGTATGCTCTTTGGCAGATTGGTATGGTCGGAAGGCAGAAGCCACAGGGGTGGGGAGGAATGAGGTGTGGAGGTCTGGGTCCTCGATTGGACGGCCATCGAATGGGTGAGCGACAATGTACAAGGATTTGGTGAAGAGTTGGGACTGTTCGCGGATCGAATGGGCGATGGCGGTAGTGAATTCACCAGAGAGGGATAAATCATCCGTCATGCATAATGCGAATTCTTCGGGAGAATTATTGGGATCATTGATATCCCACTCGAACTGGTCGATGAGGGTATGTTGACCAATGGTGATGTTGAGCTTGACCGAAATGCGCATCTCGTCGTTTTTGTATGCGGTGTAGGGTAATTGGGGATCAAGAGGGTCTTCGTGTATGTTAAGATGCGGGTAATAGTCTATTACCTGCTCCTGGATGCTCTGGGAGATCATTCTCGTCAAAGGGACCGAGCTCTCTACCGCGAGACCCAGGTCTTCAACCAGCTTCTCCGCGAACAAATCCGGGGACACAACACGATCATGAAGGTTCCACGTGAAAGTATCGCGGATCTTGACCTTTTCCCAATCAATGTCCAAGCGAATAGGGACCAGATCTTCCATCTGTTCGTTCTGCGTCTTTGCGTCACGTCGTGAAATGCGTAGTTCTCGCGTCTTTCTGTTT